ATTACTCAGTTTCATAATCTCTCTAGAGTGAAATTAAACCTTGGGTATCTTCAGCGTAACAAGATTTTTAGTTGAAAAATATTCTAAGGGTAAAAAACTATGTTTTTAATTGGAAGAAAAATTTTCACGCTTTTCATTTCAAAAAGAGTAAATTTTCCTTTTTTGTTTGTTTCTTTTTTTTAAAGATAATTTCCGCAATCTGTAATTAGAAATTTTTCATTTGCGCAAAAAAAAAAAAAAAAAAAAATGATTCTCTTTTTTATTTGTGAGCAACAAAAATATCGAAAGAAACACAAAAATAGTCCATTTGGTTTACCATCGTTCTCATGAGTGAATATAAATTAAGCTTGATTCAATTAGTTTTTTTCATGGAGGGAAAAAGTCAAATTAGCTTGAATTCAGAATTTTTTTTTTTTTCATAAAAAAAGGGTGTTTTTTGTAATTAAATCTCAAACACTTGATTAGTATTTTTTTTTGTATGTGAACTAGATTTTTTTCATTAAAGTATTATTTTTGAAAAATGTATTTTTTTCGATATCAAAACGAGAATTCATTTTTCAAAAAATTTTCGACTATTTTAGTGAGAGATTTTTTAGTTTTCGTGTCATTGCACAATAAAATAAAATCCAAATATTTACATGTCGGATGAAAAATGTTTGTGGATGTTTTTACTTTATCAAACGAATGAAAAGCTTTGGAATTTTTTAAGCCATAGATAAAGTTTCATTTAACAGTTCCAGTAAAGATTTATATTGAAAATATTTACTAAATTTTTTATATCAATTTTTGAAGCTTTAATATTGTTCAATATTTAATTTTAGTTTGAATTGCGCTTAATAATTATTGTCCGGGAAATAGGAAAATATTTTTTAATTTAATTTTCATTTTAATAAACTAAATTTAAATATATTTTTTCAATAAAAGTGAATTAAAATTTTTTTTTACGATTTTTCTTAGTGATATTTATATTTGAAATAAAAGTTTTCTGCAAAGTTTCAGATTATTAGGTAATGAATAAGAAAAAGATATAAAGTGTATTTTTTGGTAGCCGGTCAGTCAGGTCGTATATTTCAAACTTTTTTTTTATATGTATTTTTTTTTTCATTACTTATACATAAAGATCTGAAACTTGAGAAAACTTCTTTAAATATTAATCAAGATTTTTATCCCTAAAAGTTTCGATTATTCATCAGTTTCTTTTTTTAAACTAAATTTATTATTTTTTAAAAGCTTCTTATTTTTATTGAAAGTTTTTATATTTCAAATTTTTTCTTAACAAATTTTATTTAAACAAAAAAAATATATTTTTGTTATCTAAAGATTAGACTAATTTATAGATTGTTGGTATTTAATTGAGCCGATTAATTATTTATGATTCGTATAGTCAATCGAAATAAATGAAATTATTCAGTCAGTGGTTTAATGAGAGATGAGGAATTTGTGATTCATTGCTAAATTTGTCTGTCGAATTAGATTTTGCTTTGAATTATATGTATATAATTTGCTATAGGACATATCATATAGTGAAGTAAATTGCAATTTATCAATCGTGAGGTCAATATGAGAGGAATTTATATTTTGATATATAATAATTCAAGTATGATATGTGAAACCGCATTGAATTTCATCTAATATCAAATTTGATAGGAACCAATTCATGAATGAGTGTTGTCGATTTAAGTTTTCCAATGTCGAAAACTGTGTGTATGTGTACAAATATATATATAGATGTGACACGAATAGGAAACTTGCGGGAGTTGTCACATGAAACATTTATAGCAAACCGTATGCTATACGGGTAATAAACCGCGAACGTGCTCGTTTTGGTCCTTCTGGTAACATCAGCCTTTGGTTAGCAAGGTTCAATGCTGCAAAATGGGGATCCGGAAACATCTCGGTTACATACGCGGCAATTCCAGATGGTTTCATTTTTATATTTTTCTATATTAAAGGGGAATATTGCGCGAATTGCAATTTCTTGTCGACAGAACAATAATATTTTCTGATGAAATTTGTTGGCAAGAAATTTTCTATTTTAAATGGTGTCATAAATTAGCAGGACAAATTAGCAATTAGTGTTTTTAGCTTTAGCGAGAGAAATTTAAAAAAAAAATTTTTTTCATAAATGAATACCATTGTTTATAGAATAAATTTAATATAAAAAATATGATGGAAAAAAATAATTAAATAATAAAAAATAAATTATACTGAAATAAAAATTTATTTGATTCAAATAATCAGTTGACTATTATTATCAAATAAACATTTATTTGTATCAAATAATTATTATTTGAGATTGTATTTGTTTCAAATACAGAAATTATTACTTCAAATACAGATCAATTATTTGGTTTCAAAAATTATTTGGTTCAAATAAATATTTATTTTGATAATAGTCAATTAACCCATTATTTGAATAAAATAAATTTTTTTCAGTGTAACAAATAATTAATCATTATTAAATAATAATTATCAAGAAAGAATACTTCTTGGTAATAATTATTTTTATAATTATTATAACTTTACTGATAATTAATTATTTAGTGATAATTATTTACTGATAAATAATTATTAGCTGATTATTAATTATTTAATTGTTGATAATTATTATTTATTGACATTAGTAAATCATTATTATTACTCTTCATTAGTACTGATTATTTATTGATACTCATCATTTATTCACTGATACTTATTGTATTTATTTATTGATACTCATAATTGATTTATTGATATTAATTACTTATTTGTTACTCATTACTTATTTATTGATACTAATTGTTTTTTAAAATTATTATTTATTTTCTAGTTATTTTTCCTTTTTTTCAATAATTAGTATACTATTTAGTTTTTTAATTATATTTTCTTTTATATTGCAAATTTTTATTTATAGTAAAATAAAAGATTGAAAATTTTTTTTTACAATTTTCATTTTGATTTTAAAATATTTTTCATTAACAATAGAATTGAAAGGATTTTTTTTTAAATGTAATTTTTTTTAAACATTGAAATAAAATTCAATGTATGTATGTATTAATTGTGAAAAAATTTATTGAAAACTTTTGTTTAAATTTTTATTTTTTTTTGATTTGCTTTGTTTATATATGAAAGAAATTTTAAATAAAGTGAATTGTAATCGAATGAATCGTTTTCAATAAACTCTCGGTATGTTTCAGGTAAATTCGCAGTAGAATTAATATGTTTCGTACGCACACTTTTTTAATTAAATCACACAAGCTTTCGTTCAATGTTATTCTCATTTTTTGTTTTTTTTTAATTTTTTTTTTGTTTTGTGTTGTAAAATTTGAACAAAATATAGTATTGAAAATATGAGATGAAAAAAAAATATTAAATGCAAGAGAATAGAATTTTTTTTTCACCTTAAAATGAATTCTTTGTAATAGTAAAAAATTTCAAATTTTATTTTTAACTTATATATGGGAGAATGTAATTGAATTTCACGAGTATGAATATGAAATTTTTAAGCTTTCCTTGATGAGCATTGACGTACATATATTTATATAAAGCGTATCAGTAGGGGCTTTGTATTATATTTTAATTCAAAAATTTTTTGAAATAATTTCTTTCATTTAATAACTAAAATATGGACGGATATTTAAATTGATTGTAAAATTTTTATATTGTAGAGATTTGGAAAATTATATTCTCTCCAAAAAAATGAGTTTTATTTTCAATGATAATTATTTTAAATATATTTTTGAAAAAGGATTTGTGTCAGTGAAAAAATGATGAAAAAATAAAGTTGATGATAATAGTAATGGAAAGAAAAAAAAGAAGTATTTTATTGTTGAGAGTAATTACATTTAAACAAAAAGTTATTTTATGTTTGTGATTTTTCTTTTATCTCCTCGACAATTAGGTTTTAAAAACAATTAATTCGTGGGTGAGAACAAAAATCTGTTTACTTTTCAATTTGTTTTTTTTTTTTTTTTTTTTTTCATTTTTATTACATCATTCGTTTTGTTTTAAAGATTGATCTTTGTTTTGCGACTCGTTCTAAAAGAATTAAATTTAGTTACACTTTGTAAAATGTCTCTTTTCTCCGATAAAAAAAAAGAATGAAGAGAGAAAACATCTTGTTTGAAAATTCAATTAAATTTGTCTTTCAACTCAGTAAACAAAATTTTCAAAGACGAATGAAGAAAGTGCAAAAGAAGATCTTTGCGGTTGAAATGAAGCGGTAAATATTGACTCAAAGTATTCGTCGACAATTTTCTTTTTCATTTCCTTATACAAATCAAACAAAATGCCATATACATAATTTCATTAGGAAAATTTAATTTTTATTTAAAATAGAAAAAATTAATTATAAATATTTAAGTAAATAAATTTGAAAAATTAAATTAAAATTTTTTCCAATGATATGGGAAATGAATACGTTGAAAACAAAATTGAAAAGTAGATTGTTTTAAAAATTAAAATGCTGATCCTTGAGAAACGAATGAATAATAGTGATTAAAAATGAAGTTGAAAAGAGGCAATATTTAAAATTGATAGATATATGCGCGAGAGAAATGTGGCGGAGAATAGAGAGAATGGGATATAAATCCAATTTAATGGGGAGTCGCACAATTATCAGCTTGCGTTTGCAAACTATGGAAATAATTTGTTGGGAACATGATTGTATATGCGCGGTACAATTATGTGATATGTCAGCCGCAAATAAATTTATTACCAACTGAAACAATATAATCGGTTTTTCAATTCTTTTTTATTTTTTTTTTAATCTTTTCATTTAACGCATTCCCAATTCGATCAGAGTTCAAAATTCCTTGTATGGATAATAAATTACATTCATATATAGATATAGATATAGCGAATAGCTGTCTGTGATAAATGGCGGTCATTTTTAGTTTGATAAATTAAAAAAGTTTTCCATAACAGATTTTTATTCTTTGTTCGTCTCGAGAGTGACGGAAATGGAAACTTATGTTTTACACTTTTGCCATGTGTCTCATGTCATTTTTCTTTTATATATATATATATTTTTTTTTTTTTCGCATTTCTTTAAAAAAGATAAAGTTGGCAAAAAAAAGTTTAAAAAAATATGTAAATAAATAGAAAATAAAATTTTTTGATTTGTTATTATATAATTGGAATGAATTGAATAATGGTTTGGAATTTAAATTATTCACACGTGAAATGTTATCGAACGATTTTAATTGGAGTACCTATTGTTTAAATGAATTTTAATTCTCACGCAACGGGACTTTTTTTTAATATCACTTATTGTTTACGATATCACATATATTTTACATAGTTTCGTATAATTCGATAATCGATCTAATTTTTTTTTTTTTATTTCTCGAATTGCTTTGGTTTTTTTTCTCCATTTCAGTGACTCACGTTTTTTTCGCTATTATCAATTTTTTAAATTATTTTACGATCATTATTATATACTTATAAAATGTGTGAGTCCTTAATGTTTCCTACCGTTGTCGAAATGGTGATTTGTAAACCAGCATCTGAAAATGGAAAAAAAAATTATTAATTGATTGTCGATAATTAATTATTATTGTTTTATGAAAAGTTTATAGAGAAACTTTTCTCATGAGACAAAAAAGATTTTAATATTATATGAAGTATATGAAGTTCGATTATCCAGGAAACAAAATAAATAGTATGGAAATTACAAATTCAAAGAAAGTAATTAAATCAAGTTCAATACACTCATTTTTTTCGTTTTTTCGAATACAAATTTTTTTTTTTTTATTGATTTTAGAATATTTTCAAATTTTTTTAAATATATTAAAATTAATACTATTTTATTTTTGAATTAATCGAGTTTATAAAAAAAAGAAAATTTATACTTAAAACAGTTGAAATTAAATTAGTGTCAGACAATTTTTAGATGTATTATTCCCCAAAGATTGGGAACATTTTAAATTGCCTCTCACCTATCGAGAAGTTTTTACTCGAGGGCGCGAAAGAGTCGTTAAGGTATAGCCATGTTTCGTGAGAAAACAAGAAAAAAAAAATTTTTACCACGTAGCACCTTCGTTTTTTTTTAAAGACTGTGAGAAGGATCTCGACAAAAAAGTGACTTCAAGCTCGAAAATGTAATTTTCAGTTACATAAAATATTTTCCATTTATCTTATAAAATTTCATAAAAAAAAATTTTTTTCCAATAATTTTTTTTCGAAGTATTCTTTTAATTTATATTTTTTTTATTAACATTGTTCTTTCTTCTTTTGCTTGTTGTTTTTTCACATATTATCAAGTCTTTTATCGTTGACACTTGCGATATTTCAGAAAAAACAAAAAAAAAAAAGGAAAGAAATAAAAAAAAAATTGTGAACTTAAAGTGACATATGAATGGAAGCGAATAATCGAAAACGAATTCGTAGGGCGTTGACTCTTATCTAGTAAATGTTTGATTTGACAGCCCAATTCTCAAAGAATATCTCCTTTAGTTTCATTCGCCCTATCTTTATTGTCGTTTTTTTTATACGTCTCACCGTAAATCAATCGTTAGAGCCCGAAAAATTTCTTCTTCAGATATATATATAGAAAAAAAAATAAAAATAAATGAATAAGGCGAGAAAAAAACGAGATGATCGGAATAGAAATCTTTATATATATGTAGCTATTAATTGTGTGGTTTGAGAATTTATATAAGATGTAATCGTGTCGATTTTTTTTTCATCTCTTTCTATACGATTTTCTGCTTTTTATGCAGTTTTCATTAAATTTTTTTTTTAATGTCGATTTTCTGCTATTAACAGTAGTTTTTTCATAACTCTTTGAAAACCCGCGCGCGGAAAGTCGAGACCGAGTTTTTAGTGGACGATTTCTTTTTTTTTTGGAGCTTTTAGCTTCAAGAGCAAAATGAAAATAAGAAGAGAGAGAAAGAGAGAGGATAAGCAAAAAGTTTGAAAAAATAAAAGTTGAATTCATCCATTTGATGGGCGGCATACTTTTAATTTTCCGCTTTTTGCTTATTTTTTTTTTTAAATCCCTTTTCCCTTTTTTACCACTATATAAGTCGAGGAAAAGTCAGTCAGCTTAGGTTTCGGCTTTTATAAGTTATCGAAAAAAAGTTCATATTTTTTTAATTAGAGAAATTCAACTTTTTTATTTCAATGAGAAATTAAATAAAGTTTTTTTTATAATATGTAAATTTATGATAATTTCTGAAATTTATTCTATAATTTAAAATAGAAATTTAGCAAAAATTAAAAATTGTAAAAAAAATATTTTTATTAAAAATATTTATTGAATTAATTTATATTTTTAATAAACAAATATCAATTGAGATATAATATTGATTTAAATGTTAAAATTGCTCATGAATCGTTTAGTGCACGATAAACTTGGCTTGAGGTGACGGTCACAAGAAGTTCTCGGTTTACTAATTAGTCTTGATTACGTAATGTCTTTGAATTGGAGAACCCAACAAAACAGTTGAAACTAAACTTGGAATGACACTGTTCTTGTCGTATTGGTCATATCAGTTTAATTGTCAAGCAACGTTAACGACCCTTTAGAATAGAACTTGTGTCAGTCTCACAGTATTGTGCAACGACAGCTGTGAAACAAACTCGAGACTCAGTTCGCAAAGAAAGTTCTTTTGAGTGACAGGATAAATTTCAAGCTCAATATATAATAATATAGAATATATTTCAAATTTGAAATTTTATTTTAGATTTTAGTTTTTTTATTTAAAAAAAATATTCAAAAATTCTTCTTTTTTTTTGTCTTTACTTGACTGAAATTACATATGTCTGACTAAAATCGATTTGTACTACTGAGAAAAAAATTATAATCGTTTAGAAAGTCTGACTAAATATTTGTTTGTACTACTTAGAAAATTAGTAAATTTTCTTAAAAGTTTGACTAAAGTTTGACTTGTACTACTGATAAAATAAAAAATAGCTTAAAAGGCTGATGAAATATTGACCTATACTACTGAGAATGAATAGAAACGTTTAGAAGGGTTTTAAACTTACTTTTACTACTGTTTTTATATTTTATTTATTGTGTCTGACCAAAACCGACTTGAACTACTGATAAAATTACAAAAAAAATAACGGTCTGATGTAATATTTACTTCTACTACTTATTTTCTATAATTAAGTCGAACTAAAATTAATTTAATTTTCAAAATAAAAAAATTGGAAAGTCTGACGAAACATTTACTAGTATCACTGACAAAATTACTGACAAAATTTAAGAAATTTCACTAAACATTTATTTTTACTACTGATAAAATTGAGACAAATAGAAAGTATGACTAAATATTTACTTGTACTACTGAAAAATAAAAAGTCTTATTAAATATTGAAATTATAATTTTTTAAAAATCTGATTAAATATGTATTGACTTGTACTAGTGATAAAATAAAAAATTAGAGACTGACTTAATATTTACTTGTACTATTGATAAAATAAAAAATTAGAGTCTGACTAAATATTGACTTGTATTACTTAGAAAATTACAATTTTTTAAAACGTTTGACTATACATTGACCTGCACTATTGATAAAATTGAAAACGGTAAAAAAATGTCTGACTTAATATTTAGTAGTACTACTGAAAAAACAAAAAGTCTGATTAAATATTGACCTGTACTACTGAAAACAATACAAGCGTTTAGAAAGCCTGACTAAATATTTTCTTATACTACTTATAAAATCATAATTTAAAAAAATCTGACTAAATATTAAATTGTACTACTGATAAAATTGAAAATAGTGAAAAAACATCTGACTGGAAATTGATATGTATTACTGACAAAATTACAAATGTTTAGAAAATCTGACTTAATATTTACTTGTACTACTATTAATTTTTAACATAAAAAAATTAAAGAGTCTGACTTAATATTTACTTGTACTACTGAAAAAATAGAAAATAAAAATTAAAGAGTCGGACTATATATTTACTTGTACTACTGAAAAAAAGAAAATAAAAACTAAAGAGTCGGACTAAATATTGACTTGTACTACTGAAAAAATAGAATATAAAAATTAAAGAGTCGGACTAAATATTGACTTGTACCACTTAAAAAATAACAAAAATTTTAATATTTTGGAATTCTTGTTAATTTAATAAAAAAAATAGTAAATCCCAGTTTCAGTCAGACATAATTCGTGTAGATTTAGTAAATTTAAAAGTGAGAGTAAAAGTTAGTTTCATTTATTATTATAACAGATGTAACTTTACTATTAGTAGTAAAAATAAATTTTAGTCAGACGCCATCCCTGATGGTTTGAGATGACACAATGTTTGAGGTTTTGTCAGTCATGAAGTTCGAGATAAAGTTCAATTGAGCATAAATTTTCAAGATTATGTCAAAAAAATACATAATATCTATATATAGCAAGGACATAAATTTAAAATAAATATGACAAAAATGAATTTTAAGCTAAAATGGTGACTTTGCAGAATTATATATATATATATTTGGGAAGATTTATTATAAATTTTTTGAAAAATGTGGTTTAAATGGAGTTTCTTTATAGTTGAGGAGCACATACGGAAGCTTAAAATCCAATAAGGGCTTTATGTGCCAGCGAAGCGTGACTCGATATGTTGACGTAGTGTGTAAGCTGCATAAATTAGATGATCCTAAATAGAGAGCACATTCATTCAAAAGATATAATGTGTTCTTTGACCTATTAAAATTTCTTTCACACAAACATAGGAATAATTTTTTTTTAAATTTTGTTTGTTATAAAAAACTCATTATGTAATTATAAAGTTTTTTTTCGTATTATTAAAACATATACTGGTTTCTATTATAAACAAAAAAAGTAAAAACAAAATCAATAATAATTCATTAGATTCAATATATATTTTCCATCAATTTATTTGTTAAAATTTAATTACTAAAGCACTTTTATTGCTTTCTTATATGCAACGGACTTTGAAATAAGGTTTCCAAGTGGTATAAACTAACTTTGGTCAGACAGGCGATAAAATCTGTTTCCTTAGTTTATTTTAGAATGATTGATTTATATTTTTGATTTTAAATTACTTTGTTTGTATTTCCAAACAGTAAATCACAGCTAATTAGATTTTTGAAATATTTTTTAACAAAATTTTAAAAAGGGTCAATAATTTTTATTTTGCAATTTTCAATGAGATAAAATAAGTTATAAAAATATTTTACATTTTTTTTTATAATGTACTAAAATTATGAAATGTGATTTTATTTTTTTTTAGAGCCTTATAGAAATCTTTATTGATATTTGCATATTTAGTGCAATATAAATATGAAATTATTGTTATAAAAAATTTAGTGGTTTATTTTGCATTTTGCATCGAACTCTCTTGGAATTTTTCTGTAAAATTTTAAATAATCACAGTATTTATTAAGTAGTATAAATCCATTTTTGTCAGACATTTGTTTTATTTTACATTTTGTTGCATTTTAAAATTTTATTATAAAATTTGTTGGGAAAATTTTATGTTTAATATATGTATAGGAATGCAGTAAATTTCCTCATCAAATTAATATAGAAATTTTGGGTATTTTATACAGAAATGAAGTAAAATTAATTTGTAAATTAATGGAGAAAATTCAGAAATTTTGATTTATGAAATGAATATAAAACAAAATTTATATATCATTTTGATTTAATAAAGCAGTTTAAAATTAAATATCATATTTAATTTGCTTTAATAAAACAAAATACCTTTAAAATTATTCTGTATGTTATTACCTTTATTAATTTATTAATTGGATTTTAGAAGTGAATTTTAAAGTTTATTCTTGGATTTTTTAGTAGTATACTTTTTTTTTGTTTTTTTGGCCTTAATTGAAAGAAAGAAGAACCTCTTGAATTTTTCATTACAATAACAAAACCACCAACATTGTTGAAAATAAAGTAGGTACTTTTAAAGAAAGAGGGTTTATTGTCAATGGAGAAAAAATATTTTTTTTTTTTAAATTTAGACAATTCTTTTGTTTTAAGGATATAAGTTCAAAAAAATTTTTTTTTGTAATTCTATTTGTAAATATTTGTGCTAATTTTTGAAATATTTAATTTAATTTAATTTTTTGCTTTTAAATTAGAAAATTTTTCTATTTAAACCACTTAAAAAGTGTTATTTAGTGGAAAATTACTTGCGAATGATGAGAAAAATGTCACATCATTCATCAAAAAAAAAAAAAAAAAGGGGTACAATAGAATGAGGTCGCAATATATATATATATATATATCTGAAGGGTATGAAATTGGCAGAAAACAGACATCTCAAGGTTGAGTGACAGGTATTTAAAAAAATTTTCAACCAAAAATGAGCTTGGAAAGATGTATAAAAGAGAATGAAGATAAAATGAATAAGTGAGTCAAATTTCATAATTATATATTCTCCTCTATATGAATTTTAGGTTATTTTATAGTATAAAACCATTTTTAATTTACTGTTTTTTTTTGTCATTTTTTTAATTACAAATTGATTTTTTTCCAAATAAGAAAACCTTGGACTAATTATATTCTCGGGCTTTTGATAAAGAGGTTCAATCTCTTATTTTTCCCTTTTTGCAGCCAATGTGAGTTTTTGCGGTTTAGCTTTATTTTCCCTCTTTTACTTTTTCTTGGACCTTTTTATTTTCTCCTTTTGTAATTGCTGGGGAAAAAAAAGTTCGACCTTAAATTATTCTCAATTTAGCATTGAAAATCGCATTAATTTGTGATAATAAATATAATATATATATAGGGGTATAAAAATTTACGAACGTGAGGAAGAAATTTGCGGTTAAAAAAAGCTTTTTTCTCTCCCCTTGCTAAAGCATATATATTTTTTGTAAGAGGTAAAAATAATATTTACATCATAAACCAAAATCTAATATAATATCCCTCTGGGTGTTTCTCTCACATGCTTTTGCAAAAGTTTCTCATCGCAAAGTCACATCACGCGCTGTGACATGTTCGTCAATATTGTTCTTTTTTTTCCTGATAATTTGTATATTTTTCAATTTTTTTTTCTACTTTATTATAATTTATGAGCTATTTGTTTTTTTTTTTTTTTTTTGTAATTTTCTTATTATTTGTCAATTTAATACTCATGAAGGGAAAAGAGTAGATATAAAATGATAAATTCCAGAATAATGAGCAATTTTATGTGTATATAAAAAGAAAAATTTAAGACAAAGTATTACTCTACTTCAACTAAGAATTAATTTTCCTATGAAAAATATTCTTATAAAATAATAATAACAAAGGACACAATTCTTTGAGGAATTTTTTTTTAATAAAGCTGTTTTTAAATTCGATAAAAATGGAGAAAAAAAAATATTTTCAGGAAAAATGTTGCTTTTTTACGCCAAAAAAAAAAAAATATATATGAATCTGTTTGTATATAATATGAAGTTTCAAAAATAATATTCGCACAGTTTCGAGTTTGTTATGTTAGGCACGTATATAAGAAAAGGCGAAAAATAAATCAAGCAGCAAAGAGAAAACGTGACAGTAAAAATTGATTCGATATAAATGGGCAAAATGTAAATAGAAAAAATTATAATACGATACAAAACAGTGATTTTCGGTTGTTTCACAATGTTCACTAAACAAAATAAATTAAAATGTTTCATAAAAGTATGTCAAGAAAAAAAAATCACATAAGGAAGTTACAATATAAAATAGAAATTGGAGAAAATAGATATATAAATTGAAGGATAGAAATCAGCAGGAAGTGAAAAAGGAAAGATAAATCGAATCAGACACAGGATTTATATATGGAAAACTAATTCTCTTTTGTGATACAATTTTTCTTTTTTCTTTTTTTTTGCTCGTAAAAATAGATTCCTTTAAATAGTAATTCGCGTTGTTTTTTTTTTATTCTCATTCTCTCGTCGAGAGATCTCTCGGGAGAGGAAAAATTTGTTGGAAGGGTCATCCACAAAAAGGAGTTTCATTTGCTGCCCTCGGGCAATTCAGAGTTTACGGACAGTTTATTGTATATACATGTTTATACATATACATACAATGTCAAGAAAAACTCGAATTGTATAATATTATTTTTCTGAGTATAAAAGACTTTAAAATTTCTTTCGAGAAGTAATATTCACTTTTTACATAATTAATAGTTTTTAATAAAGAAAAAAATTGAAATTGGAATTTATTTTTTTTTTTTTAAATAGTTTTGCGGCTTTGTGGGGAAATCGAAGGAGTTTTTTTTTTAGAACACTCTTTTCAAGAGATGAGATTATAGCACGTGGTTTCTGGGGGAGTTCATTTTCCATTAAACACAAACTTGCAACGATGTTCTCTCTACTCAAACTCTATACTATTTCTAATTAAGATCATGAAGGTACAAGTAATTGCTCTATGAAAGGAAGTTAACAGTTCGACTTTCTAAAGACGTTCAGTCGAGAAAGTGGATTTCAAACGACCAAGACGCAGTGTCTACAGACAGGAAAACAGGATAATTTTAATTGCTTATAAGATTTATTTCTCGATAAATTTTGCACCTAGAGGAAAATATAACTTTTATACTCTTAAAAAATTCTTTTTTAATAGTCTCAAAAAAAAGGTAGAAATTTTAATTTTTCATTTCTAATTTAAAAATTCGTTTAACATTAAAAATTAATTTTAATTTTTTAGTTTTGAATTTGCAATAATGGTTATAGAAAATTGGAAAATTATGGTTCAGAATAATATTCTTATGTTTCAGAATTTTATTCTGATTTTAGTTTTCTTTTTTCTACACTTTGCAATTCATTTTCATAATATATTGCTCCTTTTGTGAAATGTATCTTATTTTCTTTAAAAAAAAACAAAATAATGTTCAAGCACAATTTACTTAGACACAAGATTACAGACAAGGCGCGTTGGAAATTCACGTTTCTCGTGCAACACATTTGTTATAGGTGTGTTAAATAAATATTCATGATGTAGTGATTTAAAAAACATTGGAATATTTCAAGTTTGCTTAACTCACACCAAACATCTAATTTTACTTCAATCACGCCATCCAATAAAGCTATTAAATTTTTTTTATTTTTTTGCACACCGTGAATAATTTTTCAATTTCATTTTTTCTACAATAAAAAAAGCGATAAAAGAATATAATTTTTCCTCTTATTTAAAAATATATTTATATAAAAATTGGCAGGAAAAAAAGCTAACAAATAGTTTGAAATAGGAAAAAATAAAAATAAAATGCATAGAAATTTTGTAGAAAATTGTTGAAAATTGCCAGACGAGAATTGTCGAAGAAAAGGATGAATATATAGTAATTTGATGGTTCATAGTTTATATCAAATAAAAAGGAGGAAAAGAACAAAAAAAAGGGACTAAGAAAATATTACCTGTGATAAAAATTGAGTAAATAAAATTGAATTAAAAATTTTTTTTTAGAAAAATATTTACAAAAAGATAATACAGAGTACATATATAAATATTGATATTTTTTTCAGAAATTGTTAGAAATGAGATAAAATCAAATATTTTCCAGATAAATAAAGAAAGTTCAAATATTTCCCATATAAATGTATTCAAAACAACTGATCAGAAAATCTGAGACGGAAAAATCTCATTTTCTACCGGCATGGAAAATAAGAATTTTCTCTGTGAGGAGAAAACGAGGGACGAAAAAGATAAAACGCCCATAGGAGTTTAGGTCGATTAGATATGTAAAATTGATTTGCAGTTCTTTTACACTTGAGCACATTTCCATGATAATAGTTTTTTTTTTATTTATAATAATTTTTCAGATAAGAATAATTCTCTCTCTCTCTTTCTCATATTTCCGAGAAAATATCTTTTTTCATTTTATATAAAAATGTAAATTAAATAGTTTATATAAATATTGGAGAGAATTTTTTCTTTTTGTAGAAAACAGAAAATAAATATTCAAAAATTTTTTTCTTTTATCATCTTTGGCTTCCGGGCGTTGCCGATTTGTCGAATTTTCAATAAATTACAGCAGAGACAAAAATTTAAATTAATGAGAAAAAATTCCTTCATAAATTGTCTCGTTTGTAAAGATATTGAAAAAATAATAGAAAATTCTATTTTTCTAATACAAAAACTAATATTGTATTTTTATATATATATTTTTTTTTATTGAAACATCATTTTCTTTATGTTTTATCAAAAAAATTTTTCACGACTCGGATCCCGGAAGCTATAAAGACTCACCCTATAAAATGTCACCTGTACTAGCAGCCCTTGTTGTTCTTGTTGGTGGTCCAAGCCGATGATGTGGATCCAGTCGTGATCTGCAATAGATGATTTTTCTGAAGGCTTTTCGAAAATTTTCACTAAGAAATGCATACAGAAATGGATTGACACAGCTGTTGGTATAGGCGAGCACGTGACTTGCAATTTGCATCATGATCGTTGCTGTCGTCAAAGGATATTCGCCCACTGACTTGATCACTAAAATCAACTGAAATCAAATATTTGTTCATAATTAGTAGATATCAGTAAAGAATCTTTATATAGGAATAAAAGAAAATTTTACTTTGCGACTAAATTTTTACATATAAAAATTCGATGTGGATTTTTTAATATAAAAAAAAAAATTAGCTTAACTCTTTTTGTTTTTTTTTTTAATTTTCGAAAATGAAATAATTTATCTAAAATAATATTTGAGATGAAAATTTAAAATTTTGTGTATTGAAGATATTTTTGGAATTTTATACCTGTGAAAATCCCGAGTTTTATTTTTATATTGAAATACAAAGCCGAAGGTCATAAAATTCCAAAAGATTAGTCAATCAGTTGCAATTTGTGTATTGACCTGTTAAGACGTGTGGTAATGAAAATTTCGCTGCTTTAAAATATTTAATTTTTGTATCGTCTAGTATTAATCGTCTTTTGTTTTTTTTCAGATTGGAAGTGCAGTATTTCGAATTCGCGAGCTAAAAAATTTAAGAGTGTGTTAAACCTTTTTTTCGTAAATTATTTCCTCCGGGAGTGTTCGAAATTTTTTAAAATCGCGATCGCTTAAATCTTTTTGTAACTATAGTATTTTGTTTCTTAAAATTTTTAATTTTCGGGAGTGTTCGAAATTATTAAAATCGCAATCGCTAAATAAAATTTTGTTTGCAAAAATACTTTCGGGAGTGTTCGAAATTTTTTAAAATCGCGTGTGTTTTCAGCTTATCTTATCGGCCAAAAAAAGGATACATCGTGTCACATAACATCGCTACAGGCTAAGGTAAGCGATAATTTTTTTTTTAGCAATTTAAAATCAAAAACATATAATTTTTTTGTACCTAAAAATAGGAAAATTGAAAAAAATATCACCCCGCCTATAATTTAAATATTTAATTTAATATTAAAAATTTATTGTTGATGGATACACGCTTGAATGCATTATTGTCAGATAATGTGTCAGACATGTCCGATGCAATCGGGGGAATATTTTGATAGATGTTGAACGCTTCACTGGCAGGTGTAATGTGTCTTATATATGCAAATGTGGAGTTTAGAGGATTTGATTTGACATTTGTGTATATAAAGTGGAAGATATGGAAAGGTGTGCTTATATGTTCATTATAATTGCCAATGTTGTTAACTATGGGAGTACATTTGTTACAAACTATGCTTCGTTGTTAATCCCATCGTCTATGGTTCAAATATGCTGTTACTAATCGAGAAATAGTGAAATCCCACGTTCGAGATTCATGTCATGCCACGATATAAACTCTCCCCGAAGGATTCCCTCTCGAAAACTTTCATCAAAACTTGCATCTAAACTTGATTCAATAATATAATATCCGGCATTGATGCGAGATGAAAGATATTTTATCCATAAGTGATTATTAATAATTAATTGATTTAATCATTTAATAAGGATCAAAATTTACAACAGTAATTATCAATATTAATTACATCAAGAATTTCGAAAATTAATTCTTGAGATTCTCAATTATTCAAAATTTAATTAACAATTTTATATAATAACTGAGAAAAAATGTATTTGATTCAAATATATCGATCTTGACTATTATCAAATAAATATTTATTTGTATTAAATAATTAATACAATTATTAAATTAATACAAATATAATTTTGTTTCAAATAGAGAAATTATTGGTTCAAATACATTAATTAAATTATCTGGTTTCAAAAATTATTTGGTTCAAGTAAATATTTATTTGATAATAGTCAAGTAACCGATTATCTGAATGAAATAATTTTTTTTTCAGTGTATTATTATTATTATTATTATTATTATTATTATTATTATTATTATTTAATTTTAAAATATTATCTACCGATTAAAGTAAGAACTGAAAAGTTTCAAGTGAATATTTTAACAAATAAATGTTTTACAAACACTTTGAAAAAAGAAGAGAGAAAAAAAAACAAACATATGTTCCATTTCAGTTGAATTTTTCACTGCATGTGTGCGAGACACACTGAACAATTTACAGCCCAAAATAAATCCTTTCGGTATATATGTGTATAATACATAAAATAGATTTTACAAAACAGCTGAGATTCTCTTGTTCAATTTTCACACCTTTTTTTTCAAAAATTTTATAAATATATTTTATTTTAATTCTATATTTTTTATTTATAAAAAAAGCAAAACCGCTTCTTTATAAAGGAAAATTTTTATAAATGAAAAACAAATTTTTTCACGCGAATAAAACTTTTTTAAAAAATATTTAAAGATTAAATTAAAAATAATATTAAAATGATAAATGAGTGAAAATTCTTTTGTACGTAGAACCGTTATTCAAAGGAAAACAAATTTTTGTTTACCATATATGAAGGGAAGCATTCATTAAAAAACGATTGCATTTTATTAAAATAAATTATAGACGAAAGAAAAATTTTCTATAGAGTAAAACGAATCGTATAAATTGAACTTTTTTTTTTTTTATTTACAGAGAATAGTGTAAAGAAAGGAGAATAATTATGGTCTTTTGAAAATGAAGTAGATCTTTTAAAAGTGATTTACTTTTTCTTTCTTTTTTTTTTTTCAAACTTTTTATAGTTCCCATTGATGTTCTCGTTACTTTTTATGAGACTCTATTAACCGTATTAAACAAATGAGGTCTATTATCACTTATTAAAACAAATTACCCAACCCTGAATGCGTGTTTATATGCCAAACTCTCCTCACAACCTTTTAACTCCCTTAGTGTTTCAGCCCTTACTATGCATTAATTTCCGTCGTGATGTTTAATTTGCAACCCCAACACCTAACTTTTACCCCCTCAAAGTGTTATACATTAGAAACTTGCAAATGTGAATAAATATTTTTTTAAAATATAAAATGTAAATTAATGTGTGGGAAAAAAAATCCCTAATACTCTAAGAATATAAAAAAATTTATTTGATTTAAATAATCGATTTGATACAAATAAATATTTACTTGGACCAAATAATTGTTTATTTGTATTAAATAAACTGTATTTAAACCAATAATTTTTGTATTTGAACCAAATATTATTTAATTCAAATAATAATTATTTAAAAATATTTATTTTGATAAATAGTCAAGTAACCGATTATTATTTGAACTAAATAAATTTTTTTTAGTGTATAATTTTAATATTTTTAGTAAAAAAAAAAAGTAAACTTAGAATAAAAAAGAATATTAGTAGCGAAAGTCATTTTTAAGTCAGAATTAGTCGAAGCAGACACAAGTAGAATGAGTCAGTTTTAGTCAGACATGATTTAATTTCAAGTAATTTGGTATCAGTAGTAAAAGTCGGGCTTCGGTCAGACGAAAAGTTTATAATTTTGCCTAAAAAAAAAAATTTCCCAAAATTTAAATTTCCCTCTCTCTACAAAAAATGTTTAGGACATGTTTTGATAGGACTTACAGCATCCGAGGTACAGGACCAAAACTTTCGGTTCGTTTTATAATTGAAAAATTTAAATTTTCAATTCCTTTTTCGGTTTTTCATTATTGATGATTTGTTTTGTGATTCAATTTTTGAATTTTATCCTTTCGTGCTCTTCGATATATCCTTTCGGTAAGGAAAAAAAAAATTGAATCTATTTCTTTTTTTTTTTTTTACCTGAATTGGAAGCCAGCAAAATGCGAAAACTCCAACGACAACGACGACCAGTCGCGTCACTCTTTTTCTCCCTCGACGACTTTCTGCGCTGATTCGAGATCCTCGCCATAATCTCAACAGCATACAGATATAGAGACCTATTATAAGGGTCAGAGGCACAACGTAGCTCGATAAGAAAAATGACACCTGGAATAACGGCCAGTTAACATGTTGCAGTATTCGACACGCCGTCAGATTTTCCGACGACGAGATGTCCATTTCCTGTAAAATAAAATGAATCTGCATACATAAGAGAATGTCGTCACAACACTGAGATTATTTTTCACTTGTGTGTTCATATACTGAAAAAAATTTTTTTTTATTTCATTGAAATACTCCGTTATTTTACCATTATCAAATAAATATTTACTTGGACGAAATAATTGTAATTTAAATAATATTTTTATTTAATTAAATTGTATTTGTACCAATAATTTTTGTAATTGAAACAAATGCCATTTGACTCAAATAATAATTAATTAAAATATATTTATTTGATAACACCGTCCGACAAAATTTAACTTTTATTTTGACCCACAAAAAAATTTAACATTTTCGGAAACTAGGACCCAAAAAAAATACCCGTGTCTGGCCGTTTTGCTAGATCAAGTCGTTTGTGATTTTTAGGGGTGAAAACAGCCCAAATAAAAAGTGACAAGATATCTTTTAAAAATTATTAATATTTTATAAAACTTGGTATCTGGGGGTTTTCGGGGTCGCTGATTACACAGAAAATTAAAAGGCATTAAAATAAGCTGCAACGATTATTATTTTAATCCAATTTTGCTTATTTTAATACCAAAATGGATTAAAATAAGCAAAATTGGATTAAAATAAGAAGCGTTGCAGCTTATTTTAATGCCTTTTAATTTTCTGTGTATTAATCTGATGTCAGATTTTCAAAATTCAAAATGACGGATTCAATATGGCGGTCAAAATTTTAAAAAGTTATTAAATTTTTTTGTGGGTCAAAAATTGTGTCGGATGGTGTAATAGTCAAGTAACAGATTACTTGAATTAAATAAATTTTTTTCAGTGTAAGTGTTTATATTTATTTTTGTAAACATATAAAAAGGATTTATAAAAAATTAACAAAAATAGACTTTTTTGAATATTGAGAGTAATTTCAAAATAAAATAAAAAAAAAAATAATCTTTATTGTCGTTCACATGATTAACATTTATCAAAGTTAATTTTTCTTCGAAATTGATATTAATCGTATATAAAAAGTGGGTTAAAATGAATAAGTGCGCCCAAGTCATACTAGTCGTGTTACAAATTGCCATGTAATTTAAAAAAACTTTACATTATCTTTAAATAAAAATCAGAAACTAAAATTTTTCATTTGTTCGCGTTATATATTGGCCACGAGATACACAAAAATTTTATATATAAGAGAATTATTCAATTTTACTGAGATTTCTCCAAGTGAAATTAAATTTGTTTCTTGAAGACTGTAGATATAGATATTGAGATGAATGTAAAAGTCTTGAGAAGCAATTTGTATCCATTTATCGATTATGTCAGATCGCGTAGAACATGGGAACAATGAATTATTGCTATTGAAAGTTTAATTTATTAAAGAGAAGAAAAAGAAGAAATTTTTTTTACTCGCCGAAGAAAATTTGATCGTAATTTAATATGTCGGTCACGTTAAAAAAGACAAGAAAAAAAAAATGTTTAATATTGAAATGGAATTTAAGGGAAAATTAATTTTTATAGATGAATAAAAAAAAATTGAGGAATAATTTTTTTTTTTGTGTGAATAATTTAATTTTGTACGTTATGGATTCATGGCGAATTGGCTGTTGCAATGTATGATGATAAGAAACAAGAGACAGTTGAACAATGAAAGGGAGTTACGAAAAGACGTCTAAGCCAATGTGAACTTGGCAGGCGTACAAAATATTGTATTACATAGTAGATATCACTCACATAGTGTAAATGAGTCTTTTTGCTACATTATATATACCTCTTTGTGTCAGTTACAGAAAGGGTCATATTGAAATTTAATTTTCAAGTTCCATTGTTAATGTCGAGAATTTAATTTTGAATTAATTAAAATTTGCAGCCTGAATAATTGGAAAAATAGTTTTAAACTGAAAAGCTGTTTTTAACAATTAATAAATCTTAATAAAATTAATATTATCAAATTTTCCGATTCAGTACAATATTTAAAAAAAATTATTTTTTAATATTATTTTAAAGGTGCCACAGAAAATTAAAAGGCAAAAATAAGCTGCTATTATTTTAATCCAATTTTGCTTATTTTAATCCATTTTGGTATTAAAATAAGTAAAATTGGATTAAAATATTAAGCGTTGCAGCTTACTTTAATACCTTATAATTTTCTGTGTGTAATAAATTTTATATTTTTAGTTGTGTGGAAAATAATTTTTTTGAGATTCTTTTACGAGGCTAAGTATTTTTGAATTTTGAAATATTTTTTCTAAAGTATAGATGACTCACCTCGCCATGAATGATAAGTGCTGGTATTGAAACTGTTAGGATCACAGCCCATAGGATACAAATTGCAATAAATGCATGTGTCTCGGTCCTTACAGACATGGAAGCTATGGGATGTACCACCGCCAAGTACCTGCACATAGAAAAGTAAAGCAACTTTTATCAAAAAAGTTAATAACTTCCCTTTTTATAGAGAATAGAGCAATATAGATATAAAGAGAGACTTGGTGTATAGTTTAAAACTTTTAATGAACTTTCCTCACTTTTCTTCTGATTTTAAGTTTTATAACAAATTAAAATTTCACAACCGAAATAGTTTAAATATTTTAACCCCTCTATAAACAGATTGTTGACATATTTTTCTTTTAATATAAAAATTTATTCACTCTCGACAGAGAGAAATTTATATTTGAAAAGTTTTATGGAAAAAAAAAATAATTATTTTTTAATAAAAAAAAAACTTTTCTTTTGATATAAAAATATTTATCACTCTGGAATGAGAAATTTTTATTTTGAAAATTTTTGTCGAAAAAAAAAATGAAAGTAACTTTTACAAGTGTTGATGAATTTAGAAATAAATAAATAAAAATATTGTCTGACTGGGACTTGCGCTTTTACTACTGATATCAAAATTACACAAATCTTACAGCTTGTCTGACTGAAAATGGTATTTATTACTTTTACATACTAGAATTCAGAATTTTTTTTACTATTTTTCTAATAAAACTAAATGATTTGTAATTCTTCTGTCTCACTGAACACTGACTTTTACTACTGACAATAAAATTACACGCACTTAAATAAATGTCTGGCTGAAATTGACTTTTAATACTACTTATGGAGAACTTGGAAGAATTCAAAAAATTTATGATTTAATTTAATTTGCATTTCACACCTAGTACCAAATTGTATCATTAAAATTTACTTTTACCACTTATACAAGATTTACTAAAATTCAGAAAATTTTCAACTGATTTAAATTGTATTTTACTAGTTGAAATAAATTTATAAAAAATTATGTCTGACATGAAACTGACTTTTACTACTAATTTCAAAATTTTATAATTTTTAAATTTTTAAAAAAAATTTAGATTTGCAATTCGCAAAGTTTCGGTAGTATTTATTATTTCCCGTCTGTTGAAATAAATTTATAAAAATTATGTCTGACATGAAACTGACTTTTACTACAAATTTTAAAATTTTATAATTTTTAAATTTAAAAAAAAATTTTTAATTTGCAATTTGCAAAGTTTTGGTAGTATTTATTATTTCCCGTCTGACTAAAATTGACGTTTACTACTAATTTTAAAAAATTACAAAAACTTGAAAGTCTGACTGTAAATTTATTTTTACTACTTAAATAAATCAATAAAAAAAATTATGTCTAACTGACACTGACTTTAACTACTGATATCAAAAATTTAAAAATCTGTCTGACTGTAAACTTACTTTTACTACTGTCAATTTAATTACACGACGTATCTAAACATTTTTAAAAGAATTAAAATAAAAAAAAATAGAGTAAACATTTTTTTTTTTGATAAAATAATTAATTATTTAATTAAAGTAATAAAACGAGTATTTTTTTATTTTGGGCGATTTCTCTTTTTTTGTGTGGATTTATTTTAACTTGTATATGATGTTTCAAGCAAACTTAAAGGGATGTGTTTGTTCTTATATAGAGAAGAATGTTTCCAAGCTCTCTCATCTATCATGTAATTTTTCCTTTCCTCGATACTGATACGGAAGAAATAAGCGAAGGGAAAAAACAAGAAGAAAAAAAAGACATTGCCTATATCCTACATGAACATCGTTTGTGTTCTCAACTGAACACAAGGCTAATATATGTTCTCGGTTAAACTAGACAAATACCTCAAGAGTTTCTTTCGAAAATACAATTTTTTTTTTTAAACACTGCTTCTAATACAATAAATCATTCTCTCAAAATATTTTCATGTAATTTCTATAGGGAATTTATATATTTTCACACTTTTAATCGAATTAATTTTTTTCTCAGATTAAAAAAAAAACTTAAATACAAAATGACTAACAGTTTTTTTTTATATTATTTTATTTCGCTTTTATTCTTTTGGGGGTCAATGAACCTTACAGCCCTCCCTTTTTTTGTGTATATAGCAATTTGTCTGAATTGACATAAAATAAAGGAGAAATGTGCAATTATTTTCTTTTGGAAATTAGAAATGAAAGTAAAATAACTAGTAATTTCATAATTTTTTTAAAATTTAAATTATGGATTTTTTTTTTTATTAAAAGGAAATTTTTCAAAAAGAAATTTTTGAGATTTCTTTTTCAATTTTCTTGCATCTATTGAACGTTTCAATCTAGAGAAATTGCTTTAGTGGCATTTTAAATATACGCTTTTAAATTCTATAGAGAATATATTCACCGGAAAATAATCTATTTTCATAGTTTATGTGTTTTGCTATATTGAGTTGCCTTTAAAACCTGTCCAATAAATTTTTCTCAACTATTTACAATACATTTACTAAATTTTATTAAAAAAAAAAGAAGTGGAATTATAATTTTTATATTAAAATTATAAATATAAAATCATAAATTTGATAAATAAAAATTATTTTTATTTTAAATAAAATTTTCCACTATCGAAAAAAAATTCCACTTCTTTTGCCACAAATGATAATTATTTTTCTTATAAAAAATACAAAAAAAATTCTAACTAGAAAATTTGATTTTACTTTGAAAAAAACCTTTTTAAATATAAATATAATTTCCTTTTCGGTGAAATGGTGAAAAAAAAAAAAAAATACTTTAACGAATTGAGGACTTTGTGGCCTTCACGTTTACACGTGCCTGGGTCTGACACATAGGATTCCGGAAATCAAAAATTTAACTTCACAAATGGTAAAGGCCATAGTTAGAAATGAAGTTTCCGATCATATATAAAAATTCTTTATCGAGTAAATCAGATTTTTTCTTTACCCCTCTATATTTTGATAAAAGTCAAATATAATAATAATATTTTTATAATTATTATTCTATACTACATATGAATATTTTTTTCTCTCTCTTCCAATTGTTTTTTTCTTTCCGCTGTCAGAGAAAAAAATGACTAGCGACAATATATTCAGCATGACATAAAGTTTTGACGGCAACAAAAGACATCAAATATATATATATATTCCTTATGGAAAGGGGGGGAATCCATTTTCAGTTGTTTGTTTGTGAAATTCTGAGTGGTCAGCATTTGAAAAAAAAAAAAAAAAAAAACTTTTTTCATCACTTTTTCCCTATTCTGTAAGCAATCAAGAAAAAACATATCCCACAAAAAGAAGTGAAAAAAGAGAACCATATATTTTCCCACATTTAGTTCGATGATAGGAGGATGATTTTTGTGAAAGATATTTCAAAAGATATTGATCAATCTTTCATCAAGTTAGAAGAGAGGATTCATAAATTATTTTCTTTTTCAAAACGAGAAGAGTGAATTAATGGAAAAAAAAGAAGTTGAAAAGCCAAGAGAAAGTAGATCCAAAAAAAAGGATTTAATCTTTAACCCTTCCATTATCTTGATGAAAATGAAAAAAAATAGTTGTGAAATATAAATAGAAAAATAGAAAAATATTATTAAAATTTATATTAAATATATTAAATTTAATATAGTAATTTTGATTGTTGCCGGAAATTATTGAAAGTTTGATTAAATTGAGAAAACTTAGTTTTCGAAACTATTTGACCACTAAACTATAAAATAAAAAAAAAATGATTCATTTTAGGCGAAGCAGATGAGCGCATGAAATACTTCCTTTAGAAGCATGGAAGCGGAATTTACTGCTCAATAAATCACAAAAGTTATGGCATTCATAAGAACTATTTAACACTGTTGAATTTGTTTCCTTCAATTCTTACAAAATAGTGAAATCTAAGCCTAACGAAATTAATCTTGTTAAACTGTAAATTTTTTTCCTCCCACTATTTAGGATCAAAAAATTATTTAATTAAAAAAAAAAATTTCTGTCTCATTTTTGTAAATTTTATTTTATGCAAAAATTAAAATTTACAAAATTCATTTGTTCACAAAATATTTGTTTTTTATTATAATTATGAAAAAAGAAAATAGAAATTATAAAATATTTCTGAAGAAAATTTGCAAAAAAGAAAAATATTTCTAATTGAAAAATAAACTCACCTGTCTAAACTCATTAGAACGAGTGTGTAGACACTTGCGCAGGCAGTGACGATAATTAGATACTGTACAACTTTACACCATATGTTTCCAAATGGCCAAAATGGCAAAACAAAGTCAGTTGCCGTAAATGGTATACAAAATAATACAAAAAGTAAATCGGCCACAGCAAGATTAATTATTAAAATGTTTGTTGTTGATCTCATTCCTGGATTAGCGGCAACCACAAGTACAACTAATGAATTTCCAACAAGACCCAATATTCCAATTAAACCAAAAAATAATGGCACAACAACAATGACTATTTGATGTACCAATTCACGATCAAAACCTAAATCCTCTTCATTGTCACACAATATTTCTGAATTGATTGTTGAATTGCAGATGACTGTCGTGATATTCATGGAATTTGATGAACGCGAAGAATTCCAAAGGGCGTCCATTTTAAATGACAAGGAAATAAATTTAGAAGAGAAAAAAAAATGAATTTTCCAAATTCCCGTGTTAAACTAGTTCACAAGATTTTCAAATAATTTTTTTTTTTTTCCCTATTTTTGAATTTAATTTGTTTTTTTTGAATTCTTGTCAGTCATTTTTGATACATTTTTGTTTTCTCTTGCTTTATTTTGCCATTACAAAATTTTATATATGTTGAAAGTAAAATTTATCTTTGTTTTGAAAATTGCACAATTTTTTTTTTCTCTCTTGAAGTATCATTATCATCATCATCATTATCTTGCACTGTCGTCATTACACGGATAATGTGTAGCGCGCAAACAATTTTCGGACAATGTATTTTTTGTTTGAAAGAACACTTTTTTTTTAATAATTGCGACTTATTGGAAAAATCTCGATTACACTAAAAAAAAAGTCATTTTATCACATTGTGCTATGAGGTTTTTTTTTCTCTTAATACTCTTCATCGTCTTCCAGATTATGGTTCTTCAGGATCGTAATGAATTCTCGTCACATAATACACACTATCCGCTTTCAGTGTTCTTTTTTTTGGCCTGGAAAGCTTTTTTTTCTATACAATTTGTTGGAAAAGTAATGAGAATCAAGGTAGAAAATTTATTTTAAAAAATAAATAAATTATCAAAATAATTCAGTCAACTGAACAAAGAAAATATAAAAATATAATTAATTAAAAAACTAGTTTAAATTAAACTAATTTAGATGAAAAATATTTGAGTGGAAAAAGATTATTTGATATGCAGAAATTGTAACTTTGTTCGAGTGCTGATTGAAAGTTACAATTTTCTATGTATAAAATCGATGGGAAACTACATTTAAAAGTTAATTTTACAAGCTGATAAAGCTTCAACGTTATCAAATTTAAAAGCAAATTTCAAGAGGATTGAATTTCTGAAATAAAGTGATTCTCAGCTTATGTATATATATAAAATGAATTGCAATTAATCCCAAAGAATTTGCAAAATACTTAGAGGTTAATATTTTTAAAAGCCTTTTGAAACGTAAAAGTGGTAATTGGACAAGATAAAAGGATTTCAAGTATCTGTTACAAAAACCATATTCCATTACATAGAATTTTGTTCTCTTGTCACTGGAAAAATTATATTTCTTTAAATTCCACTTGAAAAATATGAATAATGTTTTTGAAAAATATTATCTTTAAAAAAAATAATGATACAAATATTTTTTAAATTATTTTTAAAGGGTAATTTTTATTTTTTCGAATTTTGTTTTAAAAATAAAATATTTGAAATTTTTGTAAAGTGGTACAAAAAAAATAATTTAAAATAATAAATATTTTTTACATATAAATAAATATTAATTTGACAATTAATAATTAATAAAGAAATAATTTTTAGTATTTTCGGAAAATTGTGATTGAAAATACAAGAGGGATTTGCTCTCTTAATTTAAGATCAATATTGAATTTAGTCGCTAATTATTTGTCTAGTTGTTACACTATATCATCCCTTCATAATATACATATGTATAATCACTTTCAATTAACAAGTTCTCACTCCCTCACAATATTCAGTTTGAGTTAATGACTTTCTTGATTAGCATTGATAGACTTCCATTGTTCTTACATTATTCATTATGATACATAAATGCTGAATAAGAGAAAATTTAAATTTTTTGACAACTTTTTTCGTCAAATTAAAATTTATCATAATTATTATATTATAATAATAATTATCATAATAAAAAATTTAATAAAATTAAAAACAATAGAAAATGGAATATAGTTTTTTTTTAATAACTATAATTTCAGTCATTTTATACATTTTTCCGAAATTATTATCAATTTACAATATTAAAATTAATTTAATTTTATTAACATGCACAACAAAAATTTTAAATTGCAAAAAACGTTGCAAAAATCATAAAAGTGACAGTCATAAAAAGTCGATAGGTAAAAAATTAATAAATTATTTAGTTAGAGTAATAAATACATAATTAAATAAAGCAAATTTCTAATTGAATAATTAATTTTTTTAACTGAAGAAATTAACAATTAATTATTAAATAATTGAAATAATTGATTTCTTATTAAATAAACTAAACAATTCGTAAATAATTCAATGAACAATTTATTGATAATTTAATCAATTTTTACATTTAATTCGTAAGTTTTTAAAAAAACACTGACAATAAAAATGATTTTATTTTAAAAAATTATATTAAACATAAATAATGTACATATAATTAAAAGGCCCAATATGATTTTCATTTTTATTACAAATAAACAGTTTAAAAAAGTAAATGAACATATAAACTAAAATAATTAAGAAACATTAAATGTTAAAATTATTTAATTATTATAAATTTAAAAAAAATTACAATAATCAAATCGTTAAAAAAAAGTAAATTAAAGACAATTTTATATACAAAAAGCCACTTGATTTTTACTACCTTTCAATTATAGGATTGTATTTGTCATTATTTTTTCTTAAATATAAAAGAGATGAAAAATCTCTCTTATTATTTTAAAGAAAAAAAAATTCAAATTTAATTTTAAAGAATATTTTTTTATTTATTGTTGTGGGAAAATGAAATTTTTCTACTTTGAACGAAAATACGAGGCGTAAAAATTTTGAAGGGCCACGAGTCGAATCCGCCTTCGACGACGGATGCGGAACGACTACGCGTTTCTGAACCTTAACTAAAGCTGGTCAAAGCTGCTGCGTGTGCATCGAAATCAAATTTCGCTCCTCTTTTCTTTTGATCACAGCGTTCCTGATGTCATTTTCCTGAACTAGATTTTCAAATTTTTTTTTTTTTTTTTTTTTAATTTTTTAAATAGAAAATTTTTTTCTCTCATTACATTTATTATTACCATTTGGCGTTGCTAAAAAAAATGTTTTTTTTTTAATATAAAAATTTATACAATAAAAAATTAGAAAAATCATTGTATAAATTGTTTATTTGATTATTGTAGTTTATAATGAATAAAAAAAGGAGGAAAGTAATTTTTTTTTTTTTGTTTTACATGGAAAATTTTTAAAGAAAACAATATTTTACTTTAGTGAATTATTTGGGATTAAACGCCTGATAAAAGGCAACCGAATGTACAGTTAAGAGTGAAGTAAAATTTACCGGTAAATAATTTCAAATGATAATTTATCAGTCGTTAATGTTAATTAAAAATATTCGTCAGTTTCCACTGTAGGTAAATTGTAAAATTAACGTTACTTTCATTGTTATCTGCTCATGATACGAAAGACAGAAAATTACTTTATCGGCTTTGATAAAAAAAAAATCAATAAAACAGAAATTAATCAAAATATTTGGTTTTATATAAAATATATATTCAATTTTTTTAAACTTTAAACTTTACAAATTTTTTTCTCCCACAGAAATTTAAAATTTTTTTTATTTTTATTTTCAATATTGTAGGTTGCAATTTCAAAATTTGTTTACTGACATTTTTTTTAAATAATTACGATCAATCAAAAAAAAATGTTTATTTAAATTAGAATTTAAAAAGGATTTGATTTTTTAAGTAAAAATAAAAAATGTTTAATTTTTTTTATTCGATGGCGCCTAGTGGTTATGAAAAAATAATAATAAAAACATTTCCTTATAATTGACTCACAATTCAGATTATAGAAAAAATAAAAATTAGCCAACGTAAATTATTCAACGTTTTGCGCTTCTTATCAAAATGTGTCTATGGGTTATCGTCTTTCCCCGAAGGGAACTTGAACCTCGATACTTTTTTTTTTTAAATGAAAACAGAAAATATTTATAAACGTTTAATTTTATCCACATTCAGCTTTTTTGGTTTTGCAATTTTTCTCTTTATAAAAAATATTTTAAATTTGAATTTGTTATTATATTTTTAACATTTTTTTAATTTCCTTATAAAATAAAGTGACACTTTCTCTGATTAACAAATATAAGAAAAATTTTTCATGGAAAAAAAAGTTTTTATAGAAAAACTTTTCAATAATCTATATCTGAACATGAACTTTCAATTCTTTTCATTAGGAGAAAAATTACATTACTCTACTTTTTGATACCATATATCCAATATCAAGAATTAATCAGCAGAAAAGTAGATCTTTATTAAAGCTTTTAGAACCTCTTTAAAAACTTTTACCAAAGTATAACTAAGATGAAAACTCACTCGAAACTTATAATCGCATTAAAGAAGAGGGTGGCGACTTTGAATTTTTGCAGACTTTTTCCGTTATAGTGTGTATCTAAAAGCAGTATAAGAAGGTGCGAAACGAGAATATTTTGAACTACAAATTTTTTTTCCATAATTATGATTTTCTTGAAAAAAGAAAAAAAAAACTTGATAACCACCCAACAGTATAGTGAAAATTGGAAAAAATTTCCAATATGTAGAAAATGTAATAAAAAATTTTTTTTTGTTATTTTTTTACTACATTTTCATTTATTATTTTATAGAAATTTTTTTTTTTATACATTTTTCTTATAAAAATAAAAAATTATTTTGACATGAAAAGTCAATTATTATTTTTTTTTTTTGGTTTTAAAATAAGAAAATTGTGGAAATTGAACAAAAAATATATATGGAAGAAATTTTGATTTCCGCATATAAGGTTCATGGTATATAGAATCCATTCCAGTGAAACGAAGAGGCTCTTGAATTCACTGACCGCTAAAATACTCGATATAGGAAAAGGGTTCCTGGATATTTCTATATAATTTATGAGGACAGGAAATAAATCTTCCAATTTTATACTTATCTTTTTAAAAGTCCTTTTTTCCGCTCTAATAAATTTATAATCCCTTTTTTTTGAATCTCATATAATTATATAGTTGAAATATCGAATTCGAAACAAAAAAATTTCAATTAAAAAAAAATACATATTTTTTTTTACAAAATAAATGATTTTTTTAAAATTGTTTTCTATGGAAAATAAAGTAAAACGAATGAAATTGATAAAAACAAAATTTTCCAATTAAAAAGAAACATATTTTTTTTACAAAATTAATTTTTAAAATTGTTTTTCTTTGGAAAATAAAGTAAAATGAATGAAATTGATAAAAAGAAAATTTTTTCCTTTGTCGTTTACAGTTGTGTAACTATTTAGGGTGACACAGGTGAGGTTCCCAGCATCCAAAGTAAACGATTTTAGAAGCAGTTGGTTACTTCTGTTAAATCTGCTTTCCAGAACATAAAAGCAAACTTTTCCCATTTTGTCTTAGAAGTCTCTTGATTTATCTTGGCTTTCAAGATTTGAAATTTTTACCAAAAAAAAAAAAGTTGAAACATATCTTTTCGTTGAATTCCCTCCCCCAAAAAAGGAGCTTAGATTCATCTTTTAAATTAATGGAGTTGCAGAAATATAGAAAAGAAAATACGAATTTTTCTATATTAATTTTCTTATTTATTTTTTATTTAAAAAATTTCGAAACTAGAAACAAATAAATACTAACTATGATTTTTATTCTTTAAAAAAAAGTCCCTTTCGTATAACAAGCATATAGTGAATAAAATGTGAGGAAAAAATTTAAATTTTACTACCCCGGGTGGATGAAACCAATCGAAACGCTAGTCTCTATTCTACGATCGGTCTTTTGTTAAAGATCAGAATGGCTAGAGCTGAACATAGAAGGGTTGAATTTATGGTCAGTGACGATAGCCGAGTAATCTCCACCGTTCGTTTCTTTATTGCACTTCTAACTACCGCGAGGTAAAATAGAGAGAGAGAAAGAGGGGGGAAGTGTCGATGAAAAGAAGAGTGAAGTGAACCTCCATAGGGTTATATGGAATGAGTAAAAAAAAAAAAAAAAAGAAGGATAAGGGATAGCAGTAAAAATCGCGTCGTCGTTTCCTCATCCTCTGTCGATTATCGAAACTCCCGGAACAAGCAATCGAATTCATTCGCGTTTCGATATCCGCCTAGTTTTCTATGAAAAAAAAAAATCTCAGCTAATTTCGAAAAAAATTTTCCTTCCGAATTTATAATTTTCCATCATTGAATTTTCTCTGAAAAATATTACGAGAACTTTTTTTTTAAATTAATTAAAAAGACGTTTTACATTTTTAAAAGTTTAAATTATGTTTTATTTTACAATAACTTGAAAATTAACTACGTTTTAATAGTTATGTAAATTTACAAGACTTAAAAATATTTAATTTATTTATACAAAAAAAAAAAAAATTTAAACAATTTTATTGATTATTATTCTTACTGACTGAATCGATCACTTTTTGAATGACAAATTTCTTCAGTACATTTGCGGCATATTCTTGAATTTTATCCCCAATGCTTGGTTTTTGTGTCACGGGACCATTATTATATCCACCTTGAGGATAACCTTGTCCTGGATAATTTTGCGGATAGCCACCCGCCTGATTGGGATTATTATACTGATTTGGATAAGCTGAATATGTATTTGGTTGGCCATTGTATGGATTTCGTCCTTGATTGTAGTTTGGATTTTGATATTGATTTCCACCTTGATTAGGATTATTTCCATAACCAGAATAGGGATTACCCGAATAAGGATTACCCGAATTTGGATATCCGGAATTTTGATTACCCGAATAAGGATTACCGGAATTTGGATAACCTGGATAACCGGAACCACGATATCCAGAACCGGAGGAACCTGTATTACCTGAATCCGAAGAACCGGGATAACCAGCGTTAACAGTACTTGCTCCGGTTTTTCTCACAGTCTCTTCTGGATAACCAGAACCGGAAGGATATCCAGAACCGGATCTTGCTTCACCTGGATAACCAGAACCAGATGGATAACTAGGATACGAAGAGGGTCTTTTGTTGGAAGAATCAGAATTTGGAGAAGCTGAGGGATAACCAGATCCTGATCGATAACCCGATCCGGATGGATAGCCAGAACCGGAAGTATAACCAGAACCGGATCTCGATTCTCCTGGATAACCGGAGGAAGGATAACTAGGATACGAAGAGGGTTTTTTAATGGAAGGATCAGAATTTCCTGATACGGATGGAGAACCAGAACCGGAACTCGTTTCTCCTGGATAACCGGAACCAGATGGATAACCAGAACTGGTTCTCGGTTCTCCTGGATAACCGGAACCAGATGGATAACCAGAACTGGTTCTTGGTTCTCCTGGATAACCGGAACCAGATGGATAACCAGAACTGGTTCTCGGTTCTCCTGGATAACCGGAACCAGCTGGATATCCAGAACCAGATCTCGATTCACCCGGTCTTTTGATTGAAGAATCATCATCAGTATTTTTGACATCATCATCAACCCCTCGTCGCAATCTCGTTAATGATAATATTTCTGTTTCTTCTGGTAGTTGTTTGGCGAAATGGCCATAAAAATCAGCGACACCACCATTTCTTAAATCATTGTAGTCGGGAATTATATTGTCCTTGAGAATATCAATTCCAACGTCATTTTCAATTTCCCATGGTATCATCTCGGAATCATTCCAATTGAATTCTGTAAAAAAATTGTCGTAGACTTTCTTCTTTAGATTTGACATAGATTCTGGGGGAGGGAGAAAGAAAATATATTCCATGCTCATGTCTAAGCTCGAGAAAATAATGTGACGATGTCCATAATTGGAAGAGAAGAGACGCCACGCGAGGATGAATTAATGTTATTCCGTGAAGCAATCCATGTGTGTGTGTGTATGTGCTGTTGTTAATTTAATTTATGATTTATGATTCTTTTGCGCACAATTTGCCCTCGCAGATTTATTGTATCCCTTTTTGACCCAAAAGGAAAGAAATGTGATTAATTTTACTTAGTCTCACACATTTAATTATTATTATTTTTTTTAATTTTGTTTTTTACTGATTTTTATATCCCATGTTTATGTATTTGTCTTTTTTTTGTGTTAATTCAAAATTTTGTTTGGAAATTGTAAAATAATTTTATTGTAAAAAACAATCGATATTTAAATTGGTAACTTGTGATTGAATTATTAAATATTATTATTAGTGTGTGTTTGTGTTAAAGCTCCCATGCATTCTTTATATTACGTAACATGCAAAATTTATTATTATAAATTTTCATTTTCTTTTTTATTTATTTTTTTTTATTTATAAATACAAATTGATTTACAAAATTTTTGCAATTGTACTAAATATATTTTGGTACAATTCTCAATATACGCTATAAAAATCATCCCTTATTTTTATAAAAATACTAAGAATATAGAAAAATTAAAGTATTCATATATATATATAAGTACTTTATGAAAAAAAGATGCTTTTACAGAACAATGGCACTGGATTATGAGTATCAATAGGTACTAAATAAAATTATATAATAATTATATAATTTATCTTGGGTTTAAAATTTTTTTTTTGTATATCGTAAATAATTTTTTTTTTTATCCACAATAAGGACAAATATACCCATTTTAAAGACTTCGCGAAAATCTCCATGTTTTATTGCCACGTGAATCAGTTGACACATGAGTTTTGTAATTATTATTATTTCCACTGGAATAAAAATTTCCTTTTGGCATAATTTGGGGAGTTTTTGTTGTGGCATAACCACTATGGGAATTGCCACCAAAATGACGATTCCACCAACCGTTGCCATTTCCAATGGAATTGCCAGGATATCGAGGTAGCCAAGATGATGATCGAGGTGGAGGTGTTGGTACAGTTGGTCGTATCACAACTCCAGTTGGTCTATAATTGTAATCTGGCCTGTTGTAATCTGGTCGCCTTCGTGTTGGTGGAGCTAATTGACAATTTTTCGAATTAAAAAAAAATTCCTTTTTTTCAAATTAAAAATATTTTTTAAAATAAAAAAATATTCTTCTTTTTTTTTGATTTAAAAAATATTCCTGTTTCGAATTAAAAAAAATTATTTTTTTTATAACAAAAATATTAATTCTTTTGCATAGAGAGATAATATAATTCTGTTATAAATATAAGGAAATAACTTTGTTATTTTTGTTGCAAAAGGAAATTAAAATAAAAAATGAGATTGTTAAAAATTATAACTTGAAAAAAGAATTTTGAAAGTTTTTAAAAACTATGTATTAATAAAAATAAATAAAGTATAAAATTTAATTTCGGATATTAATTTCATAGAAGAAAAATTAAGTTTAGAAAAATATTGACTTGAAATAATATTTTTAATTTTTTTTTGTATACATAGAGAGATTATTATAATTCGACAGTGATTTTTCCATTCGTTTTCATTTCTATAAAAAACAATATTAGAATAATAATAAAAATGTAAAGGGGCAAAGATTAAAGTTCAATTTGATATTGAAAAGAAGGTCGCGCGAGTTTCCAAGAAAATTGACTCGACTTTGGGAATAAATACAGAACGACACGTTCTTGCATATATATTTCAAATTTTCATGATTAAAAATAATTAAAAAATTTTTTCTATACATAAAATTTAATGATAAATTAAATATCATTTTGTGTGACACAATATTTCCATATAAATAAATTTTTTCCCACCATGTGAAAATTAAAAATGTTCTAAGAATGGAAATAAAATTGCGTTTTTATTCACTTTTAATTAATTGATGTTTGTATAAAGTTTTACTAAAACATTATCGTACAACTAATTACTAAACACTCTCATTGACCCTGACATTTTCCAGAATTGGAAGGGAATTTCTATTTATTTACTCGCTAAATGCGCAAGAAATTTTCAAAGTTGAAACAAATTAATTCGCTCATCACTTAACGTGTCCTTTCAATACCCACGCTCTTTAATGTTAAACGATAAATACTAATTAAGGAAAATAGTTTACTGAAATTAATCAAAATTAAAATTTACTTTCATATCAATTTTATTGCGAAGAACGTAAAAATGACAATTTATATCAGTCGAAGAAAATACAAAAAAAGAAAAAAATTTCTTTTCATTATTTCGAAAATCTAAAAATCTGCAAATAAATGAAAACGTACTTTCAATTAATTTAATTAATTTTCTTTAATTAAATTAATTGAAGCCAATGTTAAATTAATATTGAACACTTTTATGTTATTTTTAATTATATAAACAAAGTAGAATGATATTTTCTTTAATGTGTGATGAAAAAGTTTAATTAACAAAAAGAAAGATATATAACACTGATATAAAAATAATATTGTATACTTAAACTATAATCAATAACAACGAGTCATGTATCTAGAATCTTGAAGAAATATAATGATTTATGTACACAAAATTAATGTATATATATATGAAGGACGGAGACAGAAAATCGATGTGATTCTTATCAGGATTATTCTTTTTCGTATATATTCGCAAATTTATACAACAATTGCTCCCTTAAAAAAAAACACACGATTCTATTGTTAAAAACTATTCTAAAAAGTACGAAAGGGAGTTGACAATCGCTTAATTAATTTTATATGACAAAAGATATGACAAATAATTTGTCAATCGATTCAGGGGCAGCCTTAATTCACTCACTGGGAAGGCACAACATTTCTTTTTAATAATTTCTTTCATTAATTTTGTACAATTTTCCATATTTGTTCTATTATATAAATATATATATAGTGCGACTTTCATATAATTACTGTCATTTAGGGAGGTAAAAAAAATGTACAAAATTAAGGAAATTTCTTTTCCCTTTTTTTGTGAACATTTCGAATATATGTTCTTATTATAAAATATAATTAAAAGACCGTCCCTGAGTCATTCATCGTTCTTAACATTTAATTTTCGGTAGCGTCGCTTTTTTTCTATTTTCAATTCCATTTTGTTTTTGCGATTAATATATTGGTATACATCAAGTAATTTTATATATGATATAAAAAAGTTCATATTTTAGGGTTGAAACTATTTTTTGTGAAACTTCAATTCATTAAAAAATAAAAATAAAGTAAATAAAATTATAATTTTACATTTTATTATATATATTAATTTTATATATTATTCCACTGTATTAAATAATAAAAAAATACTAATGAAGTACAATTCAAAAAAAAAAAAAAACTTTTAATGAATTGAAATTTCATTTATTTTAATAAAATCCAATAAATAATTTGTTTTCCATACAATTGATTAAAAATCAAATATATATAAACGTATTCACTGTGGCACAAGAATTTTTTTTAAATTTTAACTAAATCCTAAATTACTATTTAAAAAAAAAAACGAATTAAGGGTAATTAAACTTTTAACGAGATTCTATAAAAGTCCTCTGCTTTTTTTTTTTTAGTGTAAATAAAGAGAATAAAAGTAAAAAAATAAAAAATAGTAAAATTCTACTCTCATGGAAAATAGATTACCTCCTCTAGAATGTTAAAATAAAATTACTTTTTCTCTCTTTGACTATATCAGTACACTGAAAAGGGAATTAATTTTTTATTTTTCTACTTTTTGTATAGTAAAATGTACCCTTTTAAACACCAAAAAAAATTCTCTCGATTTTTTTTTTAGTTCGAATTTAAAATCTTTTATAACTATTCGTCATCAAAAATAAAATAAATTATTTTTCAATAAGCATGGAAGAAATTTTAGTAAATATTTAGGGAAAAAATTAGGAAATATTGATATAAAAAGTAGAAAATATATTTTAATTTTCAATAAATTCAAATTGTGAATATTTACGAATTTTAATAAAAAAAATTTATACAAAACTCTTTTCTGAGATTTAGTATTTTTTATAGCAATATTTTCACATTTTGATACGTTTTACCTAAATTTAAAACTTACTAAAATTTCTACTGTACTTATATTTTTTTTCTAAAGAAAATTTTTTTCTTTGGCTAATTTTTTTAATATAGAGCAAAAATAGTTATGAAAATTAAATTACATTTTGAAAATATATAAAAAATTTATTAAAAATATGAATTTTTTTTTTTTTTTGTTCATGGTACAAAAGTATTGCGAGAAATTGTGAGTAAAGCAAAACATGATGTGAGCATCATTATCATTGTAATTGTAGATCCTGTCATTGATGATACGGAACTATTTGGTCGATAATAATTTCGTGAATTCGATTGTGAATAATAATTATTTGGATAATTTCCATAGCTCGGATAACGTTGTCCATTATTTGATTGATAGCCAGGTGGTGGATGTAGTGGATATTGATTATTATTCGATTGAGGATAATTTGATTGACCACCATATGGTGGATAACCCGATTGACCAGGAATTGGCATTCTATTATTATTATTTGTTGGATATGGTGGATATCCGTCATTTCTTGGTGGTTGTTGATTCGTTGGATATGGAGGATAACCATTATTATTATTATTATTATTACCACCATTTGATCCAGAATTTGGATAAGATGGATATCCCAAATTTGTATTTGTATTCCCTGAATATGGCTTCATTGGCGTTCCAAAAACATCATCCTCAGGTGGTGCATTCGCATTTTCATAAGGATTTGAATTCGAATTATGCGATCCTTGATTGTAGGTGTTACTTTCATAGTCTGAAAGGTTTTTTTTTCGTAAATTCTTATATCCTCCCGAGTAGTTATATAATCAGAGAATCAATCCTTTTTTTTTAATGGGGAAAATTGGTAATCTATCAATTTCTCGATAATTGAAAGGACATTTGTTTTTTTTTCTCTTTCACCAACTTAATCATTGAATAGAGGGGAGAGAGAGGGAGACAGAAAGAGGGCGAGTAATTAAAAATAATTCGCTTTCAATTGAGAGTGGATCGACAGGCATTCGATTCAGGATATGTTTCACTGCCAAGGGATAAAAGGAATTCCATGGAAAACTAATCAGCTTGGAACTCGAAAGGAATTTCTCTTAATTCGAATTGACATGGTTTAAAAAAAAAAAAAAAAAAAAAATTTCTTCCAATATTTTGAAACTTGTTTGATTTTATTTTTGTAACAATTTTTTGTTATTTCACTGCAAAAGGAAATGATTTTTATTGGTAGATTCTCTGGTTATAAACTCGTATTTGGACATTAAAACTATATTGGAAATTGAATAAATCACAGCAAAGAAAAAAAAATAAAGGGTAATTTGAAGACCTCATTTAAAGTCAATTTATTACAAACCACCATCACCGAGTGGAAAAAGTGCTAGCTTTGAGAAAAGTGAGTGTTTGGTACTTGCAAGCGTGTGCCATAATACGAGTGCAAACTCATCAAAATTTCAGAAAGCCGTGATTTAAATGCTATATGTGAATTGCAAAAGGAGAAGAAAAAAAAAGCATTTTGCCCTTCACCATATATAATATAGTCACTGTTGGCGAATTAAAATTTCAAAAGTGTTAAAAGAAAATAGACATCTAATTAATTAACAATTTTCACTAAAAAAAATCTAATTTCTACTTTTTTTTTATTTATTAAAAATTCTATAAAAACAGAATATTATCTTTTTTTAATAACATTTGTTTTTAAATTCAATTACATTTCATAGTTGCGTGTATTTATTCTCTTGGTTGTGTTTGATCTTTTTTTTTTTTTTTTTTTTTAAATATACTATATAATTAAATGAAGAATTTTTAATTCGCTGTAATTTCTCAATTCTTTAATGTTTTTTTTTCCACAAGTCAAATAAAAAAAAATAAAGCTCAATAAATGTTTAAAACAAAAATGCAAATAATTGCAAAAAATATATGAATAATCACTTTCGAAGAAAAATAATTTATAGAAATGAAATAAATAATTATGAAAAATTACTAATACTTTATTACACAATTGAGTTTAAAAATTAAAACTTTTTGGGAAAAATAGTTTTAATTTTATTATCTCTAACAATTTTCGTTGCAAGCGGTGCCAAGATTTACAAACATACACAAAACAAGCATGCAATATATAATTATTGTTTTTTTATAACACGTGTGGTAAAAAAAAATCAATAATTTTCGGATAAATTACCACATGAAGTAAAAAAAAAAAAATTTTCCATCATTTTTCTACTCGAGGGCAGAAAATTATATTTATATTATACAATGGGATCGATATTTTAAAGCATATTTTTTTTTAAAAATTCATCGCGACAATTACAAAATGAATTAAAGTTTATGAAAATTTGATCAATTATCACTGTAAACAATCGTTTCGTTCTGTATTTTAAATCCGTATTTCCGTATTTATATTTTCCGTATTTAAATATTTTATATTTACATAAAATACATTACTATTTACAAATGCCCCATTTATGTTAATAATATATATATACTAAAAATCCTCAATTTTTACTTATTATTAATTAACAATTAAAAAAAAGGAATTATTAAAACAAAACCAAATTTTTCACATGCAATTATTTTTCTCAACTCTGAATTTGAATTTGATTTTGTTTCTGACCTTTTTTGGATATGAAAAAGTACAAGGAAACCAAACAAATCTTTTAAATCCAAACAGGAAAAAAGGAAATGGAATTGAATTTTTTTTTTTTGACCTTACCTTGAGATGCCACACAGACTGGACTTCCATTGTCCACTCTACATTTCTGACCGGTTGGACAGTTCATTGTACTGCAATTTGGCTCTGAAATTATATTCACAAAATAAATATTTAAATAAAAGAATTTTTTTTTTTTAATTCTTAAATTATGGATTTTTATAGAAAATTAAAATAGAACATTAATTAATTAAAAAACTAATAAAAAGGGGAAAATTAAAATGAAATTGATTTAAAAAGTAGTTAATTTAAAAAAAATTTTAAATAATTGAAATAAAAAAAATATCGAGTTTTTTGTATAATATAAAACTATTTACCTCCAAAATTCGTTTTCTTTTTGCAAGTTGGATAACTACCACATTGACGACTGTTGGAATATGTACATTTATCTGTCGCTATTACACATTCTTCAGTGCTGGGGCATCCAATATCATTACAAGTTCTTCCATATTCTGCAATTATACAATTATACAATATGAAAAAATATAATTTAATATTTAAAATAGAGACTTTTTAAAATTACTTTTTAATTCCACTTGTTAACATATATCGCATTTCACATTTATATACAATTGTTTTATTTGCCTTTTTCTGTTTAATACTTCTTTTTTCCCCCTCGTACAATAATTTTAGAGAAAAAATATAATTCTTTTAAATTATTATATGAAACTTTTATTTTCAATATTTTATAAAATTTGTGAAATTTTCAGAAAAATGTAGAGTGTGTCCTACAAAATCATACAACTTTTGTTGACTAAAACTATACTAGCTGTATTTGTTTGGTATAAGGCGAAAAATGAAAAATAATAGCCCGCAAAATTCGAGAAAAAAAAAATTCCATGTACTCCCAAACACGTAAAATCTCTAGAGATCAACTTTTCAGCATTATCGTATATATATATATATATATACGTGAAAATCAACCACTGGAAAGGAAATTCCATGAGGAGCAAAAGAGTTAAAGAATGACATAGAGAAAAAGAGATTGTAAGCTCTGAATTTATATAATTCAATGCGCATACAAATGAAGATAATCCGAATAATGAAAAAAAAAAAATTTTTTCTCATCAAGAAAATTTAATTATTTTGTGCTTTTAATATACTAGTTCTTTTTTTCGGTTCCTTTTTTTTCTTCAATTTTTCCATTTAGGAATGTATAAAGAAAATTTACTATTAGAAATGATTTTCTAATCTTCATTAATTTAATTTAAAAAAATTTAATATTCTAGTAAAATTAAATTAGTATTTTCTAACAAGGCAAAAATTATATAATGATAAATAGATCGAAAAAAAATATCTACACACAGAGAATGGAAATATTTGTTTCGGAGCCAAATAATTATTTATTTGGTACACATATTTTTTTTGTTACAAATATTTATTTCATATAAAATAAAATATAAAATTATATAATTTAATTCGTATAAAATTTATTTGGTGCAAATATTTATTTGGTATAAAAATTTATTTGGTACAAATATTTGTTAAGAATATTTTTGCGATGCAAGTATTTATTTATTACAAATATTTGTTTGTTGCAAATATTTATTTGGTAAAAAAATTTATTTGGTACAAAAATATTTATTTGGTAAAAAAATATTCATTTGGTACAAATATTGGTTACGAATATTTTTTTGATGCAAGTATTTATTTGATACAATTATTTAATTATTACAAATATTTTTGTTTGTTGGTACAAATAAATTTTATTAGTGTTAAATAAATATTTATTTATTACAAATAAACTTTATATAAGAAATAAAATTTTTATTTAAACCAAATAAAATTGTATTTGTACTAAATAAAAGTTTTAAAATCCCAAAAATTATTTCTGTGTATAGGGCAAAAAAATTTGTTTTCCATTTTATATCTAATAATTAAAAATAATATATTTTCTAAAATATTTTCAATAACAAGAAGAAAAATTCTATAATTGAACGAAATAAAATAACTATATTTATTGAACCAAAAAAAAAAAAGAAGGTGCCTGTAAAAAATATGACATATAGAAAAATGTCATAGGTTAGATAAATACACTCGACTAAATTGTGAGTTTTCCCAGAGATGCTTAAAGGGCAAGAAAAGAGCGTCATATCGTAGCGAGAGCTATTTTGGTTTTTCATCTATATATATATACAGAGTTACTCTTTGTTAATGAAAGAGAGAGAGGCTGTGAGAGGCGTTAAAAATATTACATCGATCGTTGTTCCGGTCGTTATATTATATGCATTTAGCCTCTTGCACCTTGCATAACGTCATAACACGATATATAACGCAACTAATCGTAATTCTATTTGAGCTTCTCCCGCAGTAACCCCATCGATTCTCAATTATCGACACCACTGCTGTCGTTACTGCAATGACCACATTTCCCCTTCTCTCTTTTCATATATAGTATATATACTTTCTGCACCAAGTCACGTTTTACTTTTTCGTCCTCCTACTATATCCTTCGAAGATAGTTTCCGTTTCCTCTTTTTCGTCAAAGATACCAATCTGACGCTTAGAAACTTTCAATGTATAATCTGTCGTTTCGAAAAAGGGCAAATGTTATTTTTTTCCCTTTTTTTTTTTTTTTTTGCCTTTTGTAAATCGACTATGGACCATTAGGTGGAAAATTCGTTCTCATCGAATATTCACGATATTCGGAAAAGGATGTTCGAGAATGTCTCTCAGTCTTTGAATGCGGAATAAAAAGAAATTCGCATTTTCAGGGGGTCTTAAATTTTTATAATTATGGAAGAAAAGTGAATCTTTAAAAATGTTTTTTTTTTTTGCTAATTTAAAGACTTGACTTATTTTTGAAATTAAATTAATTGTTAAATAAATCAATGGGAATTTTTTAACAACGGTCTTTAGAAGAAAGTTCCGTTAATTCAAGTTATTGTTTGATTCAAATAAATTTCCTTTTTTTAAATGAGAAAAATTTCAGATTCGTTTTATTGCATTAATTGAAAGAAGAAATTATTTTCTATGTCTCAATCGATGACGTGATATAATATGTCGCACGTCATGTATTTAATAATAATAATAATTATGATACGATAAATTTATAACAAGTGTGTTAATAATTTAGTAAAGCAAAGATAATTATAATTCTCTAATTAATAACAATTTATTATATTCAATGGACTTTTATTCGAAAATTATATTTCATTATTATATTATTCAGAATTCAGAATGAATAATAATTTATTTATTTATTCAATATGTATTGAAGAATTTCAATAATAATTTTCAGTTAAAAATAATAATACCCGTGTTCTATTATGTTTGTAATTGTGTATTTTATGGGATAAAATCTCCTACTTTGATGTGAAACATTTTTTACTCTCTTTTTTATTTGAAATAACATTTTTCAGAAAAACGTATGTTTAGTTTTGTTGAATGTACAAATTATACAAGAGGAAACAAATTAACGGATAATTGGGTCATAATTCAAGGCACACTTTCGGAATTTGCAAGGTTTTAATTAATAAACAATTATCATTGGATTTCACATAATAGATATTACATAATTTGTATAGCAATTGTATTTTTAAACAAATTTTCCCCTACATTTATTTTCTGAAAAAAAATTCATATTTGTGAAATTGATGTTTATAAATATGGTTGTTATAAAATTTTTTTTTTTTATTTTCACCGAATTTTTATAACCAGAAAAACATTTTTAAAAAAATTTCAACACTTCGTTTGAGGGAAATATATAAAGCTCACTATAGTTTTCACAGATTAATGAGGGGCAATTTTCATAAATTTTAACTATATATATATACACTTTTTAAAACTTAGGTAACTGTCATTCTTCTTACGCCAGACAGTTTAATGAAAAATATTTCAAAGTCGACCAAATTGCAAGCTCTTTATCCAATAAGATTTGCAATATTCAAAGTATGAGAGAGAGAGAGAGAAAAAGAGTTTAATTAAAATTTCATTAATCGTTGTATGTAAAAACGAGAATGTTAAAATTTACCGCGTAAAAGATTGAATTTTTTTTTCTTTTTAAATTTTAGCTGCCATAAAAAAAATCCATGGAAATTTCATAAAAAAAAATGTTTTTTCTCTCCTACTCTCCCTTTTATTTTAGTGAAAATCTTTTCACTTTTCAATGAATAAAAATTAATTACAATTACAACAAAAAACCAAAAAAAAAAAATTAAAACCTATGGCATTTTAATGAATAAAAATTAATTAATAAATTACAAAAAAATGATAATTATTTATTAATGCAATTTTTATTTATTTTATTTATTTATTTATTTATATTTATTTATCTAATAATAATAATATGAGACTTACTGGAATAAGGAACAGCTTCAACCAATGAAATTGAGAAGATAATCGCTAGAGCGATAATATTTTTCATGGTTGCAGGCATTTTCTGTAATCATAAGAATAAAATGATTCGTCATTAAGATCTTGAGAAGTCATTGATAATTGCCACTATAATATAGTGGCTGACCTTCATTCTCTCGAATGTTATATTATAATATCTCGAGGAAGTATATATATATATATATATCTATAGTCGAAGGCGTGACGCCATAGAAAAAAAAAGGAAAAAACAAAACGAGTCTCGAAACTTTTGCGAAGTCTTAAAAAGGGAATATAAAATCAGGGTTAAATTTAAAAAAAAATGAATATTATAAAGAAGAAATGAAAAACAAAGTAGAAAAAAAATATCAAGTAAACACATTTTTATTTAATTAAGTCTAATGATCACATGAATTGTAATATACCTGGGCCATCAAAAAAAAATTATTAAAATTACCCTGTTTTTTTTAACTGATTTTTTTTTAAAGATTTAATGAATGTTAATTATGTTTTAATGTTCATGTTACTATAATACAAATTTTAGAATAATTGTTTCTTGCTGAAGAATTTTTCTTCTAATTTTATAAAAGGAAATATTTAATAACAGAAACTATTATTTTTCTTTCAGGGTAAGATGAAATTCGAAACTTTACGTAATCACACCACTGCAAGGGAATTTGAATGTGAGTATTAGAATATATTTATAATTATCTGGGATTTTTTTCTAATTTCGCTAGAAACGATTTAGAAAAAAAAAAATTCTTGGACAGTGTGTCACTTTTCTTCTCCAATGAGAATATATATTTATTTACGGGATCATTGAATCAATATAGGCATATATGATTTATTAACATTTTTTTTTAAACAATGCTGAATTGTTTTTCTTGAAAAAAGAATTCTGTAATTATTTACACAACTTGAAAATGACGCAGAAACAATTGAAATGGATAAATCGTGTTTAATTCGCCTTGAAAATCTTATCGTTTAATTAATGTTAGAAGTAAAAAAAAAGGTTTAGTTATTTAGGAGTATTAATAATAAATTTTATTATATTTCTATAATTTTATTGAGACATTTCATTAAGAAACTTGAATGATATATATAATAAATATATGAAATTAGTAAACTATAAATACTCCGAACAAAAGTCAACTGACCTAATTCATGTCTTAATGTTTTTTTTCTCCTTTTTTTTCAACCAAAGACCTTAATTTTCATCCGGAAATGTTAGACATTTTTTTCACGGCATGAATTATATATAAAGTATAAGCAATTAGGTACAATTCTCATATATTGTAAATACTATAATATAGCTGTAATGCAATAGGAGTAATTTTATTAAAATATAGAAATAACAAGTTTAATAAAAAAAAAATTAATTAAATCAACAATTTAAAATGTTTAACATTTTTGTTTAAAGTACAAAAATAAAAAAAAAATATTCTAAAATTATCAAAACGAAAGATACATTTTTTGGTAAAATTTGATATATATATATTTTTAAATTGTGACGAAATGTTACAAGGTCGTTTAGAAAAGAGCAATAAAATTCAAATGGACTTTAAATTTTTTTTTACAAAAATTATTCAATACAATAAAAAATTAGGAACAAAATATATTACATATATAATTTTTATTCTGTAATAAATTAAAAATTCAATAAAAAAAAAAAAACAATAACAAATCGTTTGAAAAAAATGACAATAATAATTTTTTAGGAATTGTGAGAGATTTTAAATATTATGATTCAAAAAGGTAGAGGCGAATAAAACGAACTAGTTGTTGTACCCGATGAGATTCGTAGCACGTATGCGTCGAATATCAAAAAGGCAAAGGGGAGAAAAAGGGGGGAGGTGGATCCCTGCAATGTGCTGGATGCATCTAGATTGGCAGCAAAACGATCTCAGGTTATGCTAACCTAAACTCCATTTTTCAACAGAATACACACCTGTCTTTTCGAGCTTTAAAAAAAAAAAATAAATAAATAAATTTAAAAAAAAACGTATCAAAAAATATATTTAAAAGAAAATGTATCAAAAAATACATTTTTTTTTTAAGAAACGTAAAAAATACGAAATTCATTTTTCTATTTTTTTAGTTTTGATCTTCTACATTAGACACACAGGCAGTATGAGTCAGTAATTTATTATAACTGATGGTAAATTTTTTTTTTTTTTTATACTCAACGTCGACGCACTTTATTGACAATTATTGGCAAGAATTGATGCAATTTTATTTAATTAATTTTTGCTACCAATTTTTCTATTTTATTTTTCTACTTTAAAAACATATTTGTTTTTTTATTTGAAAACAATATTTTTGTAAAAATATTTCTAATGGGAATTTTTTTTTCTTTATTTGTAATTTAATTATAAAATGGTTACGCAAAGATATGTTATTAACTTATTACTAGTTTCAATGGAACAATAATGTGTTTGAAACTAAACTGACTATTTTCTTTTTCTTTATAAAATCAACAATATTATTTTATAACAAAAATTCTAAGTAAAAAAAAATTATTTCCATTATTTAACTTATTTGTTTTCATTTAATAAAATAAATTTTTCAGTTGAACATATTTTTAAATTTTAATTCGACTTTAAATTATTTATTTTAAATTTGAAATAAAATAAACATTTTTTTGCTCTAAATAAAAAAAAAATGTTTTATTTAAACTAATGTTTTAAATTAAAAAAAAGTTACTTTTTTTAAAATTAGCATTTAAAAGTTTCAATTTTTTTGATTCATTTCAATGCATCTCAATGAGTTATAAATTTAGATAGTTAAGAGGATTAAAGATTAAATATATATATATATATATAGTAGGAAGGGGGAAATAAGTTTCGCAAATCTTAAAGGAACTTCCTAATAGCTATAATATGCAGAAGAGAATTACACTAAGTTAGCATAAATTGTCCTGACGAAGATAAATTTGTATCAATAATAATTATCCCATCTTTCATTAATTAAAACTTAAATATTTAATTAAAATTTGGATATTTTGTTAATTTCTGCTGAAAATCAGTAAACAAAAAAATACAGTCAATTTATAAATAAAATATAAACAAATTTCGCGCACAAAATTGCAATCTCTTTAGTCAACACAGTATTTAAAAAATTAAAAAAACACTCTGGAAAATTAAATCGCCAATCGTCCAACACAACATTGAGAATGTTATTTCATTGATGCAACAAGTAATATATTCTCGATGATTTCATTCGAAAATGGGACACGTTTTTTTATTTATTCAATAATTCATTTATTTATATTAATTAATTAAGATTAAATAATAGAAAAATAAAACAATAAAGAAGTTTATTAAAAAATAAATTTACGTTAATATTATTTATTATATATTAATATTAATAAATAATAACTTCTTTATTGTTTTATTTTATAATTTAATTTTTATTAATAGGTATATAAATAAATAAATGTGTCCCATTAATATTAAAAAGAAACATTTTTAATATATTTTAAATGTCCAGCTTTCCTTCTAATTAAAAATCACGTGCGCACAAAATAGTTTTCACCTTGGAGTTTATAATATAACGCTTGGTAAAATTGAATTTATAATTCTTTATAAAACACTGACTTATGGGCTATAAATGATTTGAGAATTTAAAAAAATTATTCACTTTTTTTTGGAGTATATATTCTTTTTTTTTTTTTGTTTAACGTACCTTTTTTTTAAAATTAAACGTAGAACTAACTCACTTGAGAGTCACTTTAACACTGAAGAATATCATGAAGTATAGTCTGGTGTAAATTCAGCACTCCAAAGAGATACATTAAACTGAATAAGGTGGGGTGACGTTGGCAAACAAGGATAGAAAATAAGTGAACGCGATGGTCAAGAAAAAGAGAGGGATAGATTTAAAAAGCGATGAGAGGGAGAAAGAGAAAGTTTTAGAATGAGAGATGTATATAGTGTGTGATGTGAGCAATAGAGAAGGAAAATTGTGCAAAAGAAGGGAGAGAGAGAGAATACGTCACAAAGCGGTGACGTATGGGCAAAGAATAGCGCCAACATTTCAAGCAGAAAGAACGTTATAATTTCGCAGCTGTGGCGAACTAAATTTTACGGGAAACACGTCATCGCGATTTAAAAATTTAAAAAAAAAAATTTACAAACTAAAAATATAATTTTTGAAAAATGTAACAAAAAAATAATTATAATTGGCTAATTATTATCATTTTGGCTAAATTTTTAATTAAATTAATTTTGTTCTATAATAATAATTAATATAGTAATTGAAATTGTAAATAAATATAAAAAATAGGAAAAAATATTTCATTTTAAAAAGTGTGAATGGTTTTCCGCGGTCTTTTGAGATGCAACCGGATATACACAGATGTAAGAGAAACCTTCATTTGGTAATTTTAATCCAGAAATTAAAAATAGTATTTTATTTAAATTACAAAATTTTAGAAATTTTTTTTAAAAATATTTTATACGTGGTATATATTTTTTATATGGTTTGTCAATAATCACAAATTAATTGTAAAAGCGTAGATAAAAAAAAAATGAATTTTTTATCATTAAAATATTTATTGAAAAATATTTCATATATCTCATTTTTCATGTAGTTTCCAACATATTAAAAATATTTCCCTACATTTTTAATTTACCATATACAGTAAATATTAAGTATATAAAACACGATATTTAATACACAGATAAAAAATATTCTAATAAAAAAATTTTATATACGAAAATAAATTACAATAATGAATAGAATTTTGCATTTTTTTTTCTGTCTAAAATAGTTAAAAAAAATTTTTATTGATTTTCTCCATTATATATAAAAAAAAACGTCTTGCGCTCTGTAAACCAAATTAAAAGTAATAAAATTTTATTGCAACAAAGTTGTAACTGGGGATCTTTATATAAGAAGAATAGAAAATGATAGAGGCTCATTTTCTCGGGGGCTATATCTGCTCTGAAGTGTAATTAAATTTTAAAAGCAGACAAAAGGGGTAGATATATATGATAAAGTTGACTGATGAAAATAATTTCCAGAATTTGCTCTTTATGCCGAATTTTTATACATATATAAAAAAGAAGAAAAAATTGTGTGTAGTATTTGAAGACTGCATTTATTATTTTCACGTTTTAAATTGAAGAAATTTTTTTCACTCTCTAATATTGCTTTCAACGAATGCGCGACAAAAAAAAATTTAACCAAAATGGATATATAATGGAATATATATTGTTTTACTTCTTTTTATTAAATTTTTACCAATCAAAAAAAGTACCGTACTTCTTTTAGCGAAGAAATTTATATATGTTTAGCACAGGTTGAATAAAATTAGTAAATAATAATTTACCAATAAAAATAATAATAAAAATAATAATAGTAATAGTAATTAATAATTTTATAATGATAATAAATAAATTAAACAATAATTTAACAATTTTGTAACTTAATTCAGTGTTTGAGAAATAATATATAAAAATCAAACAAAAATGTAGAAGAAAATTTTTATACTCTCTTTTAATAAGTAGTGAGTAAAGATACATCGTCAATTTGATTTAATTTTAAGACGAGACAATTTTTTTTACCAATATTGCAAAATAGAATTTTAATATCCGTTGCATAAAAAAAATACCAAATAATTTTGTAGATTGATATTTTAATGTAATTTAAAATATATTTTAAAATTCATTTTCTATAAAAGCAATTTAATATCTTGCAAAAAGGGAAATTGAAAAGTTTTTTTTAAATTATAATTTAAGTAATTAAACGTTGTCTTTTAATATTTGTCTGACTGGAAATTTATTTTACTACTCATACCAAAGATAGCGAGACTTTTATTCATTTAGTATGACTATAATAGTATTTTACTACTAATACAAAAATAGTAGGAATTTACAATACGTTGTCTGACTGGAACTTACTTTTTTTACTGACAACAAAGGTGGAAAAAAATACAGACTGACTAAATCTATTTTTTACTACTTACACCGAATTTTAAAAATAAATTGATTGTAAATTTCTTTTACTACTGTCTAACCTTACATGTCCTTTACTACTAATAGAAAAATTTCGAGATTAATCAATTTTGCCTGACTGTAATTAGGTTTTATGACTGATACTAAATTACAAAAATTTTAAAATTGTTTGTCTGACTAAAATATTCTTACACTACTGACAGGTAAAATTTCTAGAATTTTGTCAGCCCGTTTATTTTGTTTACTACATATTACTAAATTTTTAAAAAATTTCCGAAGTTTAGTCTGACTAAAAATATCTTTTACTACTGATATCAAAATTTCAAAAGAATAAACGTTCTGCTACTGTGTTTTACTACTGATTTTAGAATTTCACGAATTTTATACGTTGACTGTAACTGTCTGTTTCTACTTGTAAAAAAATTACAAGAATAATTTTTATCTGATCATAGTAGTTGTTTACTACTTATTTTCATCATAATAAAAATTAATCGTCTGACTAAAACTGTCTTTTACTACTGATGCAAAATTTACAAGAATCTGAAACGCACTGTCTGACTAAAATTTACCTTTTCTACTTAGTCGTATTTTTGAATAGAATTTTTATTTCATCGAAATTTTATTTGTCCAAAGTTTTATTTGTACGAATTGTCATTGAAGGGAATTACCAAATCACCGAATTTTCACTTGACCGAAATTTGCAAACGTCCGAATTTTGATTTTGTCCGAAATTTCGATCAAATGAAAATTCGCCATTTTCAAAATTTCTATCAAATGCCAATTTTTGGAAATAAAAATTTTGTCAAATGACGTTTAGGTGAATTTTAAAAATTCTGATATTTAAAAATTGGTCGAAATTATGATGAGAATTCTATTTAAATGCCAATTCGGTTAAAATCTGTTTTACTGTTGTGGCTGAATAAAAATTAATTATGAATTCTAGATATAAAAATTCCGAAATATGGAAATTCAATTTCTAGTTTAATTTCTACTTTAGAAAATTCGACATTGTAGAAATTTCAACAAAATTCAGTGTGATATTCATGCGTTCCGAATTCAATTGGAACAAAATTTTAACTAATTCAAACTAATATCTAACTTTTTTGCTATATTCTAAAAAATAGTTGATAAAATTTTAACTAATTTTTTATTTATTTTTTTTATAATATATTAAGAATAGGCAAAATTAGATTTAAGCAAAAAATAACAAATTTTTTATATACTTACTGAAGAAATTGTAATAAAAAAAAAAAAAAAAAATTGTATCACATGCACGCTAAAAAAACTTTGTATAAACTAACGAAAATAATCTCTGGAATAGTTATAAGTATAGTTAATATCGCCTTAGCGATAATCCATTTTCGCGAGAATAGAGAAAATAAAATTTTCTATGAGATTTAACTATACTAAATATATATTATGAATAGAATATAAATACAATATCTCTGAAACAGTATTTATTTTAACTATCATAGGAGATATTCAATTTCCTTAAGAAAATGAAAATAGTGACTATATTTAAACTTGTTAAACGTTATAAGTAATCTATTAAATAGTTTTCCTTATTTTTTAAATATTGTACTTTTGCTATGTCACTGTTTATAAATTTTTTAGCGTGTGCGTTTATTGTCAAGGTCGTGGGAAAATAAATTTTTCTCACATTTTAATATCTTCTATCAACAACTCCTTAAAGGACATTGAGGACTTTTTCTCTTTTGAGCGCATATTATCCTTCAAAAATCTACGACGAGCAAATATATATATATATAATGTTAGAGGACACACTTTTGAGGAGATGCGCTTGCGTGAAAATTTACTCGTGCGCGCATATATATAGGATATACGTATATATATATATACAGGAGTCAAAGGAAAACAAAGAGAGGGAAAATAGTGCGAGAGAGGGCAAGGATGAAAAGGGGGTTGATGCTATGAGGAAGGGTGAGAGAGAGAAAGAGGACAGAGCTTAGTTGAGATGGAAGGAGGTTGGGAGGGTTGGAAACGTGGATGTTGAGAGAGAGTGAGAGAGAGAGAAAGAGAAGAAGGGATATAGAGAAGGGTACGTCGCGACGCTGGTGCTGCTGGAGCGTCGGGCGTCGACCGGCAGTCGAATTTACAACCTCCACGGGGAAGGTCTCGTAAGCAGGAGTTTTTTTCATTTTTCATCAAAGAAAAAACCTTTAATAATATAACAAACTCCCTCGGCACGAAAATTTAATTTTCATTCCTACTTTTTATTTCACTTATATAAACATACTTTTTATCTCAAAAAAAATAAATAAATCATTTTTTGTGATATAAAATTCTATTCATTACAAAAAAAAAAAATTTTTTTTTTTTATCAAAAAGTTTCGGCGGAAAACAAAATAATAATTGTGGGGTTTAAATTATAGTACATCATGGAAATCATGAGTGGAAAATAATGGGTAAGCTTTTGGAATTTTCATTTTTTTTTTTTTGGAAAATCCGATTTTGAGAATTATGATGTTGGAGGGGGGGTGGGGGACAAAGTAGATAGACAACAGAACCGTACTATGTATCCTGTTTGCGATCAATGCAAGAGTCATAAACTTAGCCAAAGCACGTGTCGACATTCGCGTTCAAAAGAGAGGAGAGAGGGGGGAGGGAGGGAATTTGTAGTTATGTAGATTTCCGAGGAGAATGGAGCTGAAAATGGAACTGGCATGGGAATAAATTAGAAAAAAAATGATATCTTCTTTTTTTTTGGGAGAATATTAAAAAAAAATTCATTTTTAAAAAATGATTTTCATTTGATTTCTTTTTTTCTTTGTAAAAAATATTCATTCATTTTTCTGCAATGAAAATTCATTCGTTAAATTGTCTCTGAAAATAAGTTTTAATTAAATATATCGTATCTATATAATCGGATTATATTTCAATTAATATTCTGTCAAATTGATTTTGTAATAAAATATTTAATATTTCCAAAAGTTTTAATAAAAATTAAAATTATGATTAACTTTTAATTATTTTTTATTACACTCAACTTTTCTCCTATCAAAAATTGATTTTAATTGTACTTGATTTTAGATTATTTTCAGATTTTTTAATACATGAATATTTTGATGATATTTATCAATGTAATTGATTCAAGTGTAAAAAAAAAAATTATTTAATTCAAATACTCGATTAATTGACTGTTATTAAATAAATATTTATTTGAAACAAATTGATTTTTATATTTGAATTAAATAAATTGTATTCGAACCAAAATTTTTTGTATTTGGTCCAATATTTTCTGTATTAGAACCAATAATTTCTGTATTCGAAACAAATACCATTTAATTGCGACTCAAATAATAATTATTTGTTAAGAATAAATATTTTACTTGATAATAGTCAAGTAATCGATTATTTAAATCAAATAAATTTTTTTTCAGTGTATATTAATATATATATAGAATTAAGTTACTATTAAATTTCATTACGAAGAAATTATATTGTTATTATTATTATTAAATTATAAATTATTATAGATAAGAATTAAATTACATTACAACTAAATTACAGTATTGTTAATTAATCTAATTAATAACTTTCGTAATTAAATTTTCAAACTTGACAAATTTCTTTTATTAAAGATTTAATTAATAATTGAAATTTGTCGTTTTCTAATCCATTTATTTAAAAAAAAAAGGTGGAATATATTCTCATTTAATTCAACATTTCTTCCGCTAGATATTGCGATATAATCAGTAAATTAAGCTTTGCGCAAAGCGCACGAGTCAACGACATGGCAAATAAAGTCAAAAAATGTAAAAGAGAGAAGCCTGTAAGTTGAATCCTTTCATCGACGACTATGCTTTTCACGGATAATTTGGTCGGGGAGAAAAAAAATCGGATTCTAGAGACTTGCAATTTTCGCAGCATTTCCTCGGGAGAAAAATTTCACGATTATATATTAGATATATATACAGAATTTGTATGTAAGACATTTTTTTTTTGCATTTTTTTTTGTATATATATATAAATTGTGAATAATTTTTTTTTAGCACGAAAAATTCCTTTATTTTTATTGGGGTACTTTTTTAAAAAAAACTTAATTATCCTGCAATTTAAATTTAGATTCCCTCTTTCCTGCCTTTTTGCCAAGAATGAAATCAATGAATAATTTCGTTAGGAAATCGAGAAACGCCGGCAATTTAACTTCATTTCAGGCAAAAAAAAAAACTTGCACTTTCTTTAATTATTAACAAAAAAAAGAAGAAGAAGATTTTTTTAACCAACGAAAAGCTGTTTTTTTGGGAACGAAAAATTTGAATCAAAAAATTTATAAAATTTTTGTTTCTTATTATTATTATTATTATAAACCCTTTTCTATTAAGATTAAATTAAGTTACATTTACTGTATAACAAAAGTAGAAAAGATCGCAGAATCTTTCGTAATAGTTTTTATGACACAAATTGAAAATATCTTCTTCTGTATAAAAAAAAGTGGAAAGTAAACTTTTTTTATTTTGACAGGAAAGATAATCTAATTTTCTGCGGGGGTAAATTTTTTTTTTTTTTTTTTTGCAAAAGTAATAATTTAAGAGTGGCATGGGGAATTGAGAACTGGTGGACAAGATTATTCAAAGTTTCTTGGTTAAGATAAGCTAATAATGTTTCAAAAGAGTATTGTAGGAGAGAAAGAGAGAGGAAGAGAGGAAATCTTATCATAAAAGCAAATTTATGGAGATAGAGAATACCTTAGCGCAAACCTCTGTTCATTTGTAAGTACTCGTTGAAAATTCTAGGTATACCTAAACACAATCTCGTCTTTCTATTACATCGTTAAATAACAAGATAATTATCCATTGTTGTGTCGCTTCTCTTCCTCTATATATCCATCTCTCTTTCTCTCTATCCCTCACTGGGAATACTGTCCCCTCTTTTACGACAGCCCATGTGTTAATTTATCGACATTGATTTACCGTACCAACATTGATTGTTCAACTCCATTACACAGAATCGAAATTTCAGAATCATCTCTCTCTCTCTCTCACTCTCTCTTGTCTCTCTCGTCTCTCTCGCACCTTCATGTATATCAAGATGAATAATATACAATTTAATAATAATATTTTCCAAATTAAATTCAATCAACGTTTTAACAATTAGAATATTTAGTTAACATTTATGCATTCAGTGCAATCACTATTGTATTGACTGCATACTATACGCGAATTGAGTATTATTACATTTATAATGATTGTAAGGATATATTAATTAAAATTTAATTATAAACCACTATCAAATATGTTCATGTAACTTTATTATAAATTGAACTTTATTTTCACAGAAATTTTATTTACCAATTTAACTTTAGAGATCGTATTTTTTTCTAATTTAACTTTAAAATTAAAATTTATATTCATTAGTTACTTTAGAAAATAAAGCTTTTTTAATTAAAATTAAAATTTTCCCAGAATGTTGAATTACACATTAGAGACGTTTGGATAACAAATTAAATTTGAATTTGAAGAATGTCTGACCATAACTTTCTTTTACTACTAATACTAAATTTTCATGTTTAAGAGGTTTTTTTCTGACTAAAAAGATATTTGACTACTGATTTGAAAATTTTAACCCTACAAAGAATTGCTAGAGTTCACTACTGGCGCGGTACAGGTGCCAGTATTTTGCCAGCATTGCGCCAGTAGTCAATATTTGAGAGAAAAAAGATTAAACACTGTCTGACCGTAATTGCCTGTTGCTACTAATAAAAGAAGTTAATAAATTAAAAACCAGTTCGACTAAATCTATTTTTTTACTACTTATACAAGGAAAAAAAAATTTACCTGAAACAGCGAAAAGTTTCACTAGAATATGGAAAGATTTAACTGAAACAAGTAAACAGTAAAGTAAACAGTATTACTACTGTAGTGAAACGTTTCGCTGTTCCAGGTAAATCTCTTTTTTCGTGTACCAGAATCAAAAGGAATTAAACAATTTCTACTTATTTATTATTAAATTATTATTATTATTATTATTATTATTACTATTATTATTATTATAAATTATTATTATTATTATAAATTATTATTTATTATGTAAACAAATTATTTTTTTATAATTATTTCTAACAATTATTTACTTCTTGTATCAAATTAATGAAAATTTAATTTAGTTTGTCTGACTTAAACGATCTTTTACTACTGATACTGAGATTTCAAGAATTTTATTCAGTCTGACTAAAATTGTGTATTACTACTGCTGAAAAAAATTACAAAAATTTGGAACACTGTCTGACTGTTTTTTTACTACGGAAAACACAATTGTGAAAATTTTTATCTATTATGCCTGACTAAAATTATTTTTCACTACTGATAACAGGATTTTTAAAATTTCGTCTGACCGTCGATGTCTTTTACTACTGATATCGGGATTTTAAGGCTAATAAATTTTGTCGTTATTAGTGATAAAAAAAGTTCGAGAATTTGAAACTTGTCCGACTAAATAAATCTTCTACTACTTATGTTACAAAAAATTTAGTGGATTTGGCGGACGTAATCTTGTTTATACTACTTAATATATTTTTTTTCTTATTAAACTCAAAATATTTAAAAATATATTTCGTCTGCCTAAAACCGTCTTTTACTACTTATACCAAATCTAATAATTAAAAATATTTTGTCTGACTATAACTGTATTTTACCACTGATATAAAAATTCCAAAAAAAATTTCAATTGTTTTACTCTCATTGAAATTTTACTACTTATATTAATTTTAGAAGAATTTTGACAATTTTTTCCAATGAAAAATGTAAAAAAATAAAATTAAGTTGAAAAAAAAAATTAAATTAAAAAAATTCGTATTTTATTGTCTGACTAAATCAGCCCTTTACTACTTAACATTACGAGTGTATTAAATGACTTTGTCCGACAAAAAACGTTCTTATACTACTTACCAGGATTTTCAGAATGGAAAATCATAATCTTTTAATGTCTACATTTCAATTAAAAACCAACTTTATTGTTATCATAATTGTTGTAACAATAATATTGACAAAATGAAATTCTATAAGTACAATTTAATTTTATCATGTATCAAAAATTTTATATATATTGTTATTGCGTTGATTAAATGTGATTTTGCTCATTAAATACATAATCCAGGATAAAGCTTTGATTATTAAATTTCATGTCATTAAAATTTGTCCTCTTATCTATTGTCAGAATTGAGGGTAAATTATTATTAGTAATCGAAACAAAGAGTTCTGCTTCATAATATCTCTTCACTTTTATGCAACTGACAATATTACAATTTTTAATTAAAATTAAAATTAAAATTAAAAAAATTTAGAAATACTGTAATATTTTTTAAATTTAAATTAAGTTTTTTTCATATTTCTTAAATTTTAAAGATCATAGAACTATAAGAGCAAAGTTCAATTCATTAAGGGTTCCATTTTGAAATATGCAATTG